TACGGCATCGAGAAGAATAAAAAATTAAGAAAGAAAGCAAACTAATAATGTTGAGCATACCATTCATCAATGTACCATGCAGATTAACTGTAATGCTTCTACAGATATAGTAAGAGACTGTTATTCTATCATGGACCACAGATATAGCTGTATTCTGCATGACAGATAAATCACCTGTCTGATCTGGCTGGATTGCGCATAGCACGTCCTCTTGACCTGATTTGGACGTCTCTTAGTGAAGCCGATGCAGAACATCCTCAAAGTGTAGTTATCCGTTGTCTTCACATCAACATGAGCTTCAATCAATGTCTGCCATTTTCTCACCAAGGACCTCAACTTATCGGTCGTGAAGTCCATTCCCTGAAATTATTCATAGAAAGGAAAGGCGTAGGTCAATTTCATTTCAAAGGGAGTAGATGATTCTCAAAAAAGGTAATGATCCCGTTAACTCAACCTTGCCCAGAAACCTAATAAAAAAATCTTACCCAGAAATTAGTCAGGACATTCCTTCCCTGAACATCTTCACTCCTCAGACGAATCTTTCTGTAGGCATGGTCCTCATCACCCTGAAGGTCAGCCAACGACACCTCAAACACTCTGTGTTTGAGACCTTCTGAAGCAATCTGCCAATTTGCATAATTCGCGTCATGTTAAAAGACACTATGAAGAGCAAATAAATTCCGGACATCTGAAAGCTGTATGAACAGGGAGATCGCCGAAAAAGATACATACGCATGACGAGTGAATCAGAAAAGACATCAAAAGGCATTGATTTCAAATTATCCTAAACCTTTTACCCTCATAAGATCCTTACAAATAGTATGGCAAGATCAGTGCTAAACTTTCACTAAGAAACCAGCTATGAGCGGCGCCACAGAGAGAATGACAAATGACACGTCCAGCACTGTACATATCAGTATCTACAATTCTTGTCACAGCTTAATCCCCAACAGTAAGACCTTAATGCCTTGTCCTTCGAGGGGAGTATCACAACAGCAATTGAGAGTATTGGAGCAAATAAGCTCAAAGAAGCTGATTTACACATCAACCACTACAGAGAAGAGCACAACAAGAAAACTAAAATCGTGACATTTAGATCACAGTCCAAACAAGCAAGAGATTTAAGCATCCGCACATACACTGAAAACTTCCCCCCATTTTCAACAAAAGCCAATTAGATTAGAATAAACAAGAGTGAGAAAAGAACAAACCTTGGTACCCTGAGTACGGGAAACGAGAGTTTTGCCCACGTTCTTCACGGAGAACACGGATGGGGCCTTGATATCATACCAGTCCTTCTTGGCAAAGGGATCGACTCTGCAGAAACGCCACACCGACAACAACAACAACAAACAAAACGGACGAAATCAGAACAAACCACAGCAACCTCACGTAGCTACGACAGAAGACAAATTCCAACAGATCTACGATCACCCAATGAACCCCCAGAGCGGAAAACTTACGCCTTCTTCTTGCCTCCCTTCTTCCCCTTGGAGATCCTCTTGTTCTTCCTGCATCAACCACCAATCATCAGTCCAACACAAAGTTCAGGCAAGCAAAAACCGACCCATGAACGGAACGCGCGAGCAGATGAGAGGGAAGAAGCACGGGCGCGAGTAGGAGGTTACCCGACGGCCATGGCTGGGAGGAGACTAGGGTTTGGCTCGGAGCGGAGGAGCTGGTGGTGACGGCCCTGCGAGCAAACCCCCCGCTTCTTCGACGCGCTGCTGATAAGCGAAAACCCTAATACCAGTTCACCGCTGCGCGGGCGGTTTTATATGGGGGTGGGCGATGATGGGGTGCGTGCGAGTCCTCCGGTTTATGCGTGGACCTGGGGGCAGAAGGGTAATATCGTCAACATCGTGCAAGGTCTTCTTATGAGAGGATTTTTCTTATTCTTTTTTTTTTTTTGGTTTGTGATTGTGAGTTTCACGTAGGAGTGAGTGGTTCCCGGTCCAATCCGGTCCAACCTGAGAATCAAGAACCGGATCGGGAGGACCGATTCCCAGTTTCTAGGACTGGGGACCAGACCGGCTAGTCTTGGGACCGTGGTCTGGTCCGGTTTCAATGGGACCAATCACTTATTAGTAAAGGCAAGTGGGAATTGGAAAAATTAGATTAAGTATTTTATTTTTTTCAAAAAAATTTAAAAGTAAATAAATATATATGAAAAAATTAGAAAAAATATATATTTATCAGTTCAGTCTGGTCCGGTTTCCACCATAGAATTGGGAATCGGACTGTCCGGGAATCGGTTCCACTTTTAGGTATTTTTTATGCAGTCAACAAATCTTATTTAAAAAATCTCTTTTTTTCTCAATTTATTTGTGGTTGCGCGTTAATATCATAATATTAATAAGCTCCGAATGAAAGGTCGCGGCACCGTTGCCTGTGTGTAAGCGTAACGTATGGAAGGGGAAGCATGTGTAGGAAGAAAATGCAAAGAGGGATGCATGGATTAAAGAAAAATTACTTAAGTTAAAAGGATTTTGTGGCAAGAAGGTGTTGGTTCAAATAATAAGAAAGATTGCTTCTCTAATTGCGGTCTTGGGTTCAAAAGACTTACTGGAAACGCTCTGTTCAAAGGACTTACTGGAAACACTCTGTGAATAAAATATGGGGTGCGCGAAAGCTGATCCAAACACCACTTAATTGCTAAAAAGTTATTGTGCAGTTCCTAACTGGTGCGAATCAACAAACTACGTTTTCTAACTTCATCAAACCAATTTGTTAGGTAATCACAAATGAAATCATATTTTGTATCTTTATCCAGCATTACTCGTTTCTTTCATGGAAAATAAATGATTTCGAAAATATTTTCCTAAAATGATCGCTTGTATCCCTTGAAATCATCAGTTAAAGAAAAACATTTTCATCATCAACAATAATTTGTGTTTAAACATTTTCGTAAACGATGGAAATATTTTTCGTTCATTCATTTTTTTGAGCGATATAATCGATCATTTTTAGAAAAATATTTTCTAAAACATTCATTTTTTGCGAAATAAACCCACCCGTGATGAATTGGGAAAAAAGACATTGCCCTTTCTATAACATATGCCTGCCTGGTTTATAGATAATTGTATATAAACAAATTTGAAGGAAAGAGTAGGTGATGGAATTCGATTTGTTTGGTATTAACTTATGTAGAAAAGATGGAGGTGCTAAAAAAAAAACAACAGAGTTCCGCAATTGAATAGAACCAAATTGATGAATTGGACTAAAACTTTAATATTTGAAGATTTTGAAACTTATTTATTTTATTTTAAATGCACATCAGAAATGTTCACGCAAGTTTCAAACTGGCTCAAGAACAGGAATTGCGTCTCCAATTATGCTCTCCTTGGTTCCACTTATGAAGCATGATACAAATACTCATTTTATATATTGGAACTGATCATAGAGGCTCGATAGCTCGTCAAGCTGTTTGGACCCGAAATGTAAACGTTTGGCCTACACGGAGAATTTATATATTTTCATGGGCAAATTAGAGTTACTGTCCTTGCGTCTTGCATTGGATTTCAGCTTGCATATTCTACCCACATATCCCGTTTGGTTCGGCTTGGGGAAATGTCATTGGTCAAATGCAAAGACCTTTGAACTAAAGAGGTTTTCCGAAATGCAAGTAGCGTTTAATAAAGTGTATTTTAAAAACACGTTGGAAAGCAATTTTGACCTAAATACTGTTTAGTAAAAGCTTCACTTTTTTTTGTAAAAGACTTTTGCTAATTTTTTTTAAAAAAATCTCAAACTATTTGCCGATGAAACTCAGTCGCCGGCGAGCCTGGCCAGTAGCCAGATCTAGTCGTTGGGCAGCCTCACCTGAAGTTGCGCAACCCAAGGCGATGCTGCCTGAGGTTCGGCGACCTCAAGCGAGGGTGGCAATGGCTTGTTGGTGGCTCGCTAGTGGCTAAGGTCTTCGCTCGCAAGTTAAGGTCTTCGAGGACATTTTCGGAATTATAAAAGTTGAGCGAGGGCAAAGTTGGAAGAAAAAAAAAGTCTATTTGCATCCCGAGAATGCTACTTTCCAAAGTACCTCCGGACCTTCCTTGGGCCAAAGACCTTTTTGCATTTCCCCAAAGTTCTCCAAAAAACGAACTAAACGCCATTTACATTTAGCCAAGGGACTTTAGAGCCTCAAAGAGCATTTCAAATGCTGAATCAAACGGGGCCTAGAGCGATATCCTTTTCCCAAATTACCCCTTCCTCAACATTGGATTTGATTTTTTTTGGTGTTAATTCCGGGTCTACAAGAGGGCAAAAAGGTCCCCTTAAGTTGGGAAGATGCAAAACGTAGAGCAAAGTTGATGATATGATATTTGCAATTATTCCCGTATTCTTCGTGGTCGGCTTGGATATAGCCAAGCCCGCCGATATGATCAGGCCTACTACAAGCAGCCGATGCATACTTTCATGAATGATCTTCACATACCCAAGGCCTGCTTCATGTATGGATCGTCATTGCAAGTTCCTCACATGTCTAGGCCCATTCATAAGTATCCCATAGAAAGCCCGTTCAATATGAAATCCCACAGAATGTGCTTAGGCCCATAGTCAATTGTCTGTGTCCATTTTAACTTCAAGCACTGAGAAAGTGGGAAGATTAAATGAAGCTGTCAACCTCTCTGCTCAACTTCATTTGATCTCATGATCCTCATGAATAATGCCACAACTGGGTTGCTATCCTAGAGAACACCCACCAACCGATCTGTCATTTGCTTCTGTTCTTTCTTGTCATCAAAACTTGTGCATGAAGTCTCTGTGTTTTTTGGTTCAAGAACATCGTTGTTCTGTCATTTTCAGTAGCAACACTTGAGCTATGAACACAAACATGAATGTGTCTCCATTTCTTTTGACTTCGATCAAAAGAATGCCAATGGAAACAACACGGAATTTTCGTTGTCCGCCATTATTTTTCGCACGTTGTACAATGTCGAGAATGAGGCGTCGCGTGTATCACATATGGGGCATGAAATTGACTCAAACAGCTTTCATAGACAAGATGAAGTAACAATTGAATGACTGTCCCTTCGATAAATACATTGGAGTCTGCTTTAAGCTAAAGGGGGACCAAACTTTCTTCAGGGACATACTCAGCTACACAAATTCAAAATGAGAAAGTCAAGAGGCAAGAGAGAAATGCAGATTCTACACTTAGGTTGCATCAAGTAGGTGCTTACTATTTTTCGAAAAAGAAAAGAAAAGATGGAGAATTGGGAAATTGTCAGAAAACTTAGTTGTTGACTTCATGAGAAAATTAGCTCTAGGCTCTCTTCAATCACACTTGTGCTTTTGAAGATAGGCATTGAGCTTGATATAGCAGCTCCTTTCCACAGCGGTCACAAAGAAAGCACTCACTAAAAGAAGCTCAATCAGTACCTGTTTCCATGAACCTGCATTCACAAAAAACAGTTCATTACTTAGCATAATTGAGTTTTTCTTTTAATGAGTCTTTACCATTCTTAGAGTTAGCATTACTCACATCAAATGAAACTAGGGATCTGCAGTAATTGGCGTGTGTGAGCACTGTGCTGGTGGATCCACACTCACTGTCCTTAAGCGACACTGTCGACTTATCCAGCTTGATTGACCAGGGGTACGTGTAGTTTTGGACCGCCGACCCAGCGTGTGACGATGACCGCTGCATCCTCATCGCCCGTGGCACGTTCCTCCCCTCCATTGAGGGCCTCCTCCGGCTCGGCGGCCTCTCGTAGTAGTTCTCTGGCCTCTGTTTCGGCGCGCTCTGGGATCGGGCCTTGGCCCGGGAGGACTCAGTGTTGGCCATGTAGTTCGGGTACAATGGATAGTCGTAAGAGAGGGATTCCGTGTACTCGGACCTCGGGAAGGTGAAGGGTATCTGAGCGGGGTCGGGCTTGGACACGGCCGAACAGAACTGCGGGCTGCTCTGGGTCGTCCCGAGGGAGTAATCCTCGAAATGGCCACTGCAGGTTCTCGGGCTGTGCTCCGTAAGGGCCGACGGCGCCGGGGAAATCTGGTTGTTCTCGGGCTTGGAGTATGCCCGGTGCCCTGAGAATTTGGGATCGATCCACTCGGGCTGCGGATGAGTGGAGTAGCTATTCCTGCTCTTTGTGCTTGTTTTTGATTCCCCTAAGTCCATCTCTACAATCTTTATATTCTCCTCTATCACATTCTCAGATTCCTAAATGCATAAATCAAAGATTTACTCATTATTTCCCAATAAGATCAATATCAACTATTAGATGTCACTGTTCCATCAGTTCCATCATGTTATGTGACTAAAAATGCTGGACTAGTTTATATGGCCAAGGAAATTGGATCTTACATGGTATATGTTGCGGTACCGATTGTCTTGAGTGGATTTCCGGTGGGTCGAGATTCTTGGGTTGGTGGGCTTTGGGACCTCGGCGCCGCGTAGCCTGTTCGCGCGGGCCCTGGCCTGGACCGTCACCAATGCCTGAATGCACCGCAGAGTCGCCGTGGCCTGTTTCCTCACCAGGTGACCCCTCACCAGAGCCTGCAACTTCACAAGCCCCTTCAACGCGCGAAGCGCTTTCCTCGCCTGAGAGACAATCGAAAAAACAGATCAGATCACACAAATCCTGTGGACTTGGCTCTTGTTGAAATGGGCTACTCGTCCATGGCTCAATGAATGCCGCATCTACTTTAATCTGAGATCTCTAGGAGTAGGAGGAACTGGCATCTTTTACCAAGTAAGATCTGAACACTGATTGGATCTTGATTGCAGCGACCTCCTCGATGGCGCTGCCTCTTCCATTGGCGGCTGCAGTCAGCCGGATCACGGCAGCCGCAGCCTGTGCAGCTGCCACCACCGCGTCAGCAGCCGCAGCAGTTGCCGCTGCCATGGCCATCGCGTGCTTCTTCTTCTCATTCTCAGAGTCTAGGGTGGCCAACAGGGCTGGCGGTGCAGTAGTAGCGGCAACAAGGTCCGAGGAATTCAGGTCCTTCGAAGGAGTTGCCGGCGAGGCTGACGATCGCCGGAAGCTCCACCGCCGCTTCTCCTTTGGAGTCGTGGGCAGGAACGAGACCGGGGTCGTCGGGTTCTCGGTCAGAATCGAGGGCGGATTGTGGGTGTGATTGGTTGAGCTCCTGTCCTTCTCTTTGTGATCCTTGTCTTTCTTGCCCGTCAAGAAGTGCCTGAGCCACTTTCCTGTCTTTCCCATTTCCCTGTCCTCTCTTCAAATCCTCCTCAATTGCCAACAAGAACATGGGAGGGGGAGGAGGAAAACGATTGAAGGCAATGCTTGACCACTTGTTGGGAGCACTACTACAATAGTCTTTCTTATTATAAAGCACAACTCAGCTGCAAGATTTCTTTTCTTGTTTCATGCTTTGACAGCCTCATCTCACTGTCTCATTACTCTCTCTCTGTCTCTCTCTCTCTCTCTCTCTACACAACCACCGTATGCAGAAGAATTATTTAGGGTCTTCTTGGCAGCACAAGTCTAGAGAGTACTTTGTCCTGTGGTGGGGGGTGAGAGAAGCTCAGAGGAAGCAACATGCACAAGCCACTGCCAATCCCTAGGAGCTGATGATGAATTGATGGTGAGTTGTGTGATACCTTACCTTGCATTGACATTCTTTGCAAAGTAATCACACGGCACTTATTTTATAAGCTTTGAGTTACTTTCAATAAATGCCATCTTCTCTGCACTACAGATTAAACTGAGGTATCCAATAGTTTTTTCACTATGGTTCTCACATTTTATATTCACCCAATCCTATTCCTATATACCCATCTCGCCCCTCGCCCAAACCCTCGTCCTCGCTAGTCCCGCCGGGGCCGATTAGGTAATTTTCCGAGGCGAATTTGGAGAAATTGAGGCATGGGGTGGTGGATCAGAGGGGCCATGTGGAAATGCGTCAAAGAACATGGAGAATCCTTGTAAAATACTCATTTCTAAAGATTTGGGGGGAAGATGTGCATTTTGTCCCACTTGGGAAATAAATCATGGGGATCATTGCATCAAGAGCTCTAATCCTTATTTATTTATTATTTAACTATTTATTTTTCCTATATATTTATTTATATTTATATTTGTAAGGACTTAAAATAGCTGGAGAGACATTGGGGTTGTGGGATTGGGGGGGCGGGCATGTAAGTAAGGGGCAATGGTCCCTTAATCTGGAGGGTTTGCCAACCCGGCCTGCACGTGCTCGACCAAAGCGCGCATGCGCAGATGCAATGCAAGAAAGGAGGAACACTTGCCCGAACCAGATGCACAAACAAGCCCGGCGAATCCCTGCCGTTGGATGAAGCCGGTTCCTATATGAGATGCATGCGATTCGACGGCCAAGATCCACCAGGCTCATTTGCACCCATGATGTGCAACGGTTTGGTAGAAAGAAGAAGAGGGGGTCTTTTGCCTGATGAGGTGTACTTTCGAGTTTGAGGTGAAGGGCTTTTTCCATGTTGTCTCCAAAACCTGAAAGTGGCCAAGATGCTATGACCCTCCACCAAGTCATCTTTTCACACCCTTGCGTCTCTCTCTCTGTTCATGCACTTCCCTAAAGAGCAGAAGCAAAGTAATCCCCCAATGGGCAAAGGCAATTTTACCTTGTAGGACTGAGATAGGGGTTGGATTTATCATGTGGGTAAGTTGTGTTAAAGTGTTGAAAGTGCTAAGAAGGAGCTTCTATCACCCATTGACTTAAGCCTTTGGTGATATATGTCGGTCATTTTTGTTTCTTTATAGTAAGAGCCCTTATTTGGATACGCAAACTGACATGTTGTAACATGAATTGACTCGAACAATCCTCGCGAATGCATGAAAGCCGATGTATTTATGTGCATCGGCTATGTCTGCACTCACATGGTGGCGGATATGGCGTCCTAAAGTACTTTGATTAGGAAACAATGCGATTACGACATAAGACCTACCGTGTCTAGATAAACATTTGACCTTTGGAGACTTGAATTATCGATTACGGGAGTATTTCAAAAACTCTTCTATTTTTTCACTTCAACCGGAATATCACTTTGCGTCCTCCATTTTTTAAAATTTCAACCTATAATGAGGCTCTAGATTAGACTTCACATGCGAGTTTATTTACCGAACAATCACTTTCTTTTCCGAAACATCCATGTCACTTTTCTATTCCAAGAAACTTTTCTTACATCTACTGTCCAAACCCTAACTCAATTGTCTTCAATTCCGTCACCCCCACCAGCCCTGCTTCCCGCTCGATGCCGGCCGCTCTCTAAAAAATTAGAGAAATCCCCACAAATAACTTGGCATTTACTAATAATGTTCCTAGGAACCGTTTGCAGCTTAGCATTGGGTGCAGAGCAGAAGCGGGTCCATTAGGCATAATGCCTTGGTGCAGGGAAGCCATTGCCAAGCGACGGAGATGGAAGACCCAACGTGGGAGAGCAGTGGCTGGGGAGGCAAAGCCAAATCAATGCCTTCCCCAAGCTTCCACGTTTTTCATCCTTTGGATAAAGGCAATAGGACCCTTTCAGGGTACAATCTGACGGTTGGCCCTTCTTCACTTCGACATGAATAATAAATGGGAAAGCCACTTTTTGTTTGCAATAGATGGTGTGGCTCAGAATTTCAGATGGGGTTTAGCTCGATGGAGTTCAGTATGTTCTGTAGCTATCAAAAGTCCAATATGCGTGAGCATCGAATCGCTCACTATCCACAGATGTCATTGCAGATTGGAAAAATGATACAAACAGTTCTTGAACTTTGACTTAATATGCAATTTGATCTCCGAACTTTTAATTTGTTCAATGTGGTCCCTGAACTTTCAATTTGTTCAATGTGATCCCTGAACTTTTGGTATGTGTTCAGTTCAGTCCCTGAACTTTATAAAAATGTTCAATATTGTCCTTTCATTAATTCAAGTTCAGGGACTATATTGTAAACTTTCATATAGTTCAGAGACTAAATTGAACATGTACCAAAATTCAAGGACCGCATTGAATAAATTAAAAGTCCAGGGACTACATTGAACATTAAACTAAAAGTTCAGGGACTACATTGAACAAATTAAAAGTTCAGGGATCAAATTGCACATTGAGCCAAAGTTCGGGTACTGTTTGTGTTATTATCCCTTGCAGATTCTACTTGGTTCTTAGAAGCTTGTTCAACTTAAATTTCGTTCATTTGAAGAATATTTTTTTGAAAATAATCGCTTAAAATAATTAATCGTTATTTTTTTAATTATTGATAATTATATATATTTAGATGTTTTTGTGAAAGATGAAAATTTTCGTTTATTCATTTTTGGAAGTGATACAAACGATTATTTTTAAAAAAGTGTTTTGCAAATCATCCATTTTCGCCGAAACAAACGGAGCCTAAGGAAAAAAAGGGAAAGAGGATTATGTCTTATACTTGTTGGGATTTGGACAAATTTACCCTATAATTCCCAAAGATATTTTTTTTTGGTCGAGAATTCCCAAAGATTTGACTATATAGAATTGAGGATGTTCAGATTTGATTATGTAAGCGGTTGGAAATTAATTTATGAGAGAATTGTTATAACTGTACACACGATAATATCTTAATAACCATTGGTAGGAAGATTTTTTCCCTACTGATGATGGATTGAATAGTTTTACTCATTGTTAAAGACGGGATATAACTTGAATGTTCCACATGATTTTTTTTTTTGCATAAATAAAATGATTTAGACAGGGTTCGGACCTACCTCGCCCATTGCTAAAATGTTAGGTTTAAGACACCAACGAAACAACAACCGCCCACTAGATATGTCCGTCTCCATAGCTCTAACAGGTATTAGTGGGAAACCCAAGATCGGCGATACATTTAAGCCGAAACTACATGATACTTGTTGCGATAGTCGGAGGATTTTTCTGGTCTTCTAGTCAAACAATATTTAGGATTAATTTTGCGCATAAACGTCCATTTCCTTGATCCGATCAAATTAGGATGGAGGATTCGTGATGAATTACTTTGTTGGAACCTGATTTGAAGAAAGTTGCATCAACTTATAAGAACTCAAGAGAAAAGGTACAAAGCCCCAATTCATTTTTTTTTTACCAACTTAGCCTAGCCCTTGGGAGTTGGGACTATGGTACTTACACGATTGCAATCTCTTAATTTTGCAAGTGTCCTCGTGCACGAGGTGTATACTACACCAACGATATAAACGTCATGCGACTCTCATCTTTGCTCCTCAGCGAGGATCCAATTAAGTAAGTAGTTTTATCGACAAACAGAGAATAGAAATGATGGTTTGAAAAGTGAGAGAGGGAATGATGAAAGATTCAAGGACCACTGAGCGCGGTAGCTCGCTAGTAAAATGATCACAATATCCTCCATGAGATCATGAATTCAAGCGATGTCGTGGGTCAATTTCTCACCGGCTTTATGCCTTGGCCATTAGTTACCTCGTGTGAAGAGTCTTTTTACTCGTGTCGCATTGCTGGAGATGCCGTGGTAGAGCCCTTTTATCGGCTTTATGCCTTGGCCATTAATTGCCTCGTGTGAAGAGTCTTTTTACTCGTGTCGCACTGATGGAGATGCTGTGGTAGGCTCTTCAATCTCAGATTTTCATATTTCGATCTGTTATGTACAAAGTATGTATGATCTCACTCGAATATTTTATAGTGGTCTATAGCGGGTGTGAGACCACTGTGATGACGCTCAAAAGGGGTAGCTGCACTAGCCGCTCACTGCACTTCATTCGTCATTTCTTTAGATATCTGGGTAATTGAACTCCTTTTCTGTTCTCTCCTCCGTGCAAGGTCATCTTCACCCTTCATCAGAGCCTACTCAGAGAAATTGTAAACATAATATATAACCCATTTCCGTAAGTTGTTTCTCTAGTCTGATTTCGGCTTTAAGGTCCAATGCATGAATGCTAACGCAATTGCTTATTTAAGCAACTTGATCGAGCTGACTATTTTACTTAATTCGCTATTTCACTTTCCGAACTTCAATCATTCCAACCGGGTTTAACGGGTTCAATCGCCTTTCGATTTAGAGTCCGGTATAGTTTTCTTCAATAAATTGATGTTGATTTTACCACAAGTTATTATGCGGCCAAGTACTTGGCCTCATAAGCTGCTTGGGTTCGACTGCAGGTACCATGAATATCTTGGAGAACTCTCCGTCCCTAGGACATGTTCGATCTTGGAGAAGCTATAGTTTCATTCTTAATTTCATACTTTCATATTGTGAGATTTTATGGGACAACTGCCGAACTATTTTATTAGTATATTAATATGTCGGTCTTAGTATACCAAGCATTACTAGCAAATAATCGGTCGAGAGATAAGTCATTGCTACGAAAACCAAAGGAGAGCATAAGGAAAACAACATAAACAATCGAAGCACATCAACAAATAAAGGAAGACAAAGTGATATCCAAGGTTTGGCAAATCAGTCTATGTCCACCGTACTACGCAAGGTCTTCATCATCGTAAAATCACCCTAGTCCTACTCAAACAAACTCGACTTCATTACTCAAAAAATTAAATAATTTCGCTTATCATCCAACAAGATATATTAACTGCTCCAATTATGATACCAATTTATGGCGCTTCCAACAACCTAGTCGAATTATTGCACTTAGCTCTTCTACCACAACACCACTTGCTACGTTCCTCCCCATTAATTGGTCCCTTTTAATTGCCAAGAAAAAAGACACATAGGAACAAAAATTAAACTTGTACGAGAGCTCAATAAAATAAAACTTAGGAAACTCTATTGTATTGAATGCATTGAACCCTAAATGTGGTGCTGTCCTTGTCCTCTAACAATCAATCATGGAGGAACGATTAAGTAGTCTCACCTTATCATCAACATTGATTTTCTGTAATGTGGAAAGGATTAGTTGGCAATCACGTGGCGTGTTCATTTCTCGATCCTTTGACCCGGTGTCTTGCTTAGGGAAACACCGCGACTATTGAGATTTGTCGCTTCTACTTTGTCTAGTCCCTTAACTACATCATCATGGCTTCCTCTTAACTAGATATAAAATATGTAGGACAAATTATGCTGAAGCATTTTCAATCTAATAGTAGAAAGTAGGGAAAAATTATCGAAAAAGTTATAAATGTCTTAAACGTCTTATTATAGATCATTAACATGGTTAGAAGATCAAATTTTCAATATATTTGTGTCCTATTTGACTTGTCATTTTGCATGTGCATATTGCCGTGAAATCTCGAAAACTGCAAATTGAAGATGTAGAAGGCAAAAACGTCTGAGACAAGAAAGTAATCTCATTAAAGATAAATTTTGCACGTCCTTCGCAAAGTGTAAAAGGCAGGGGCGTCGATGGTTACCGCTGCCATTTTTCTTTGGTTAGATTTTAGTTTAATTTTTTTTTAGTTTTCCAATTTAATCGACTAAATTTGACCCCATGTCATTTAGAAGAACAACTAGACCCACTAAACTTCTTAAGCCCGTAATTTTTTTAAATAAAAGCACAAATAATTCTACTCCACTAGTCTTACATTTTGCCCATGAGGTTTAGAAATGTATAACTCACACCCTCCATACATCCTAGTAGTTTCCTAGACTTCAAGGTGTAATATAGATTCTTGGGGTATGTACAGCGAAAGTCCTCAAACTTATCAAAAAAGTGCAATTAAGTTCTAAAACTTGCAAAAAATGCAAATAAGTCATAAAATTTATCAAATTAGTGCAATCGAGTCCTTCCGTTACTTTTGTCCAACTTGGCTAACAGAAAATGCTGACGTGGCTTTTTTTAAATATTTTCTCTCCCCTACGTGGTGATGGCGTGGCTAAAACACAAAACATAAGGCTAAAACGACGTTGTTTTGGTCCAAATACGATTTTTAATACAAAATTTATTTAAATTAAATTTAAAAAATAAGCTAAAATAAAAAAAATAAAAAAAATGAGAGAGTTGGACTAGGCAGCGAGGGCTGCAAATCCAAAAAGGGCCGGGGTCCGACAACACCCCCCCCTTCCCAGCAATGGTGGGGTGGCAGCAGCTAGGGTTGGTCTAACTCTCCTTTTTTTTAAAAAAAAATTAGCATATTTTTAATTTAATTTAAATAAAATATGTATTAAAAATCAGATTTGGACCAAAACGACATCCATGTCATCGCCACATATGAGAGAAAAATATTTAAAAAGTCACATCAGCTTTTTTCGTTGAGTTAAGTTGGATGAAGTTAACGGAAAGACTCAATTGTACTAATTTGATAAGTTTTAGGACTTGATTGTATTTTTTGCAAGTTGTAGGACTCAATTGCATTTTCATAACAAGTTTACGAACTTCCAGTGAACATATCCCTAAATTCTTTAAAGGCTCAAAGGTGCAAAGTGCAAATTCTAAAAGTAGGTGATACAAAGGGTGAGATAAAAGAAAATTAGAGATAACTTATGTTATTTTATAAAATAAATAAAAACTGCAGACAGAACATAAGCATAGGCATACAGCTTGGTATGTGAGAACACACTATTCACAGAGTACTAATATTAAAAATTTGATGTTCTGATTAAATGTTTTTTATATTTAATTTGGAGAGTACGTCGGATGGACTATATTAGAAGTGGTTTTTTTTTTGGTCGAAATGTTAGAAGTGGTTAAATGCATGTGCATATGATTGTATAAAAAATATGGAGGACCTGTTTGGCCTTCTTTGTCTGCATGTCTATAAGCACATGCAAGGTCGGCTGGGCTTACGTTGTTGCAAATGCTTTTTTCCCTCTCTGTATTTTCCAACCTCTTGGCACGTCGTGTGCTGCTTTTCTAATAAAAAAACACACACGACAACACCAAATGGTTTAACTCATTATTCAACATGGAATTGACGACCAAAGAGACCCGTGCCAATGGCACCCGTCGTAAATAGAGATGATCAACGGGAGGGCGGCCCGCTTAGGCCGAGAGGCTCGGAAGGCGGATGTAGGGATTTGGCCGATGGGTTTCCGTGAGAAAGTTGAGCCCGCCAAACTTCGGCAAGACCGGGAGGTTTTGTGGAGTTCCGCTTAATCTTTGTCGCGGTCTTAATCAACGAGTTTAGGAAAATTAACAGATTTTTCAAGGGCCTCATGGTGCAATTTTTATGTTTTATCAATTGATAGAACACAAATTTATTGATATCGAAGAGGCAGTTTCTTATAAACAAAAAGATAAGGAACATCTTACAGAAGCAATACTTGCCAAGACCCACCTTCACATCTCATTACCCTGTCAACATCAAAGACCAAAACATGGAGACAAGAACCTTAAATGTTGAAACATGCAATAAGCTAGAGGAGGCTTTTGGAACGGCACGTTGGCCCAAAACCCAGAGACAAGATGATAGAGATGGCCAAACGGTCACTGGACTTGTCAAAGACGTTGCACACTTTCCCCCATTGGCACGTGTGGGTTCCCCTCGTGGCCGGCGATAGCCCTGACGGCCGTGGCGGCATGACTCCTATTTGCCATCACCGAGGCCAGCACTCCGCTCTTGCCCGCATTGTTGATGAATAGGAGGAGCGAGGAGAGCACGGTGTAGCCGTTCGCGCTATTTGGTTTATTGGATTTGAAACCATTACCTTCACCAGGCGCTGCTGTCCAATATGTTCAGATAAATTGATATGTGATGCTGCGCTTGATAGGGCAAATAGGAGAAATTACATCTTTATAACAATCTCAAATTTGATCTTCATGAATCGCTTAATCTTGACATTCTGAGCAGATACAAGCAACTCTGATGGCTGAAGAATACGGCTACAAGAAGGCGAGAGCTCTTGTCCTTTCCGACCATCTTGTCCTCGTGTCGCAGAGTAACATTTTCTGCGCGAAGTGCTGTATTACAATCTCGAGTCTATGTTGCTTTGTCATTCCTCTGATTATAATCCTAGAGTTATGGGTATCTCCTAAATAAGCCTATGTTTTGGTCTGTCTTGGATCTTATAAGATTAGTTGTGATCTTATCTGCTACATTTGAGAACAATGATGCAGTCGCTTTCGAAATGTGAGTACAATTGCTCCGCTGTCTGTCTATCTGTTACCCGTATGGAATGCCTCTATCGCATGCTCTGCTATGGTAAGCTCATTTTCTCTGGAAGTGATTGTAAGATACCAAATGGAATTTGCAGTGCAATGACTGCAACTGACACTACTGAAGTTTACTTCCACATTATCAGGCAGAAATGTAGCCACTGCAAATCCTACAATACACGAGCGATTGGCCCTCCTGTACTTCCTCAATGACTGGGTTTTTAAGTCGAGCAATTCTACCGGCCAGGGAGGCATGACCGAAGCCTTCATGCTTTGCATGAAATGGCAAGGACGCTTAGCTTCGTCCCGGGTCTTGATACATCAGTCTGATCATTCTACAATGGTTATGTACCGTTACGTTCTTCTTGATTGGATCTTCTTGAATTATACATTCTTCCTCCAAACTCATGGAGTCGAAGCCCCGCTAACGAGTCTCTGGGGTTCTGTAAACAGTTCAAAAAGATACCAACATTGGGGTTAGTTGATGGTGGAATTTCATCCACAAGCAACTCCATTTGGAATTTCGTCGCAGCAGTTGCTCCGAAGCTATCTTTGGTCCATGGTAAATCAAAGCTTGGTTCGTGTTCCAGATGGAAAAGAGTTGCTGCTTATTCCATACTTGTTCAGTGATTGCTGGTTAATTGTTCTTATTCTGCAAAAGAAAACATATGTACGGCTTTTAACCTTTCATATGCAACTTGATAAACATTCAATTGAAATTGTCTAAGATGGACTTTCACCAAATAGAGAAGAAATTAGTATTTCTTTATTATCATACTCATACAGATATTATTCTTTTTTCCCCTATTGTCTTCTATATATCTGCGGAAAAACTCGAGATGCTAGTCGAAGATGCGAAATTGACACCATTATATGCTACATACTACCAGAATGTCCTGCTTAATCTTCTCAACAGCGCAGTCTTCGACATCATTCACTGCAGCCGTCAACGTCATCCTCCTACTCCCTTGTGAGCCACAATGTGACAGGCAAGAATTTCTGCTCAATGTCGGTCAAAGACACTAATTACGCCGGTCACCAAGTTTCGTCGGATCGACGACGCTATCGCAAAGCAAGTGCGATTGCTGTTGGACAAAGTGACGCCAATCGACGTGCTGTCGGTTATCACTTGGCCCGATGACATCTTCAGCTTCTCCAACGTTACCGTCTCTTCTCCAAGGGACCTGATGTAAAGAACTGCTTCTTACAAAACTTCTGTAATCGGAACCTGCAGAAACAAGAAATTTAGACATGATCGATAAGTCTGAATTAAGCCCAGAAAATTTACTGGAATTTTGCTTGGCAATATCAGTGACTTAGATAGTGAACTGCTAAAAAAGAATTACTTAAGACGACGGAGATGATTTTGCTGTGTACCAGTGATCACATGGCAATTAGGCTGGCAATTTGGTTTGGAATGCCTAATCGTGTCCATGATTCATGTCGATTCTTGCCAATGTTAAAAAACACACCGCAATTTTTACTCAACTGAATAACCTAGATTGACTCTGTTTGGTGGAATCAAAACAGAGATCACATCTAATCAAAATTTTATCCTTTTTATCCTTGTATTGACAGTAAGTGAGTCGTGTGAAAAATATAAAAGATGAATGCAAATGCGACGAAACCTTGGGACATATGCTGGTTCTGATACCCCCAATACGGCTTTCTCCAACTCTGTCATAGCGCAAGCAAGATTCCACTATACGAGCTCGAGTTAATCAACTTCATCTGGAGATTTAACCACTTTGAAGTGCTGCGGATACTCGTGCACCCACTTGCTCCTAAAATCAGCTGGCAAACCAAATTCTCTCCTGAAATGAGCAAATTTTGTCCAGTGGAAGCCATTTATCGACCGACATCATCAACATCCTAGTCGCGTATTCAGCAGCCGTGCCAGAGCGTTCCCTAATCAATCTCTCCTCTTCCTCTAACAAGTCTTCAGCTTCTATAGTCATTCGACACCACAATACCCCCTTCTGATCCTTATACAATTCAAACAGTTTCGGCTACTTCCAAATAAAATCCAATATAGTGTGTGGTTTGTTTCCAGTATCGATCCAGCGACCTCATGGGGATTATCATCTCGGGTTCCTTCTTCAACATTTCCATCAGAACCAACACCTTAGACACCATTTTATGTTTCTCAGTGGCGATTTCGAGATCGTGGACTCTCTTGTTCTTGCTCCTATCTTGCACTCTCTTGCTAGTGGTCATGAATCTACGCTGCGACCCGATAAGTAAAACCGCGTCAAGACTCCAGTTTCTTCTCACGGTAGGCGAACGCACTAGCGAGGTGACAAAGCATCCAAACTCTCTTGCCGCACTCCATTCATTCGAGGAAGCCACGGTTTTACCAATGAATCGAAGACGGGTCATCTCGACATGCTAATATGGCTTTGCTCCAAATTCAAGAAACGAGCCCAAGAAAAGCAAATGCCTCTCACTGAGGACAGAAATCAAACAGCTTACGTGCAACGGAACGGGGAAAGCAAGAGCCCAAGACGAAATTATTGGAGAAGATCACCGTAAATGCGCGATGACCACCTCTCTTGGATCACTCGATCAGCATCAGTTTTGACTTCAACAGAAGCCGGTTGGGATTTCAGGCGTGGTTTGTGCGGAGAATGAAGAAGAGGGAATGGGCCGTAATGACGGAACCAGCTCGCTCGGAGTTTTGGTTTTTGCGTTTCTCGTCGTAATAGAAATGATATTTTGATTCTATCAAAAAAAAAAAACAGAAATGATATTTTGATTCTATCAAAAAAAAAAAAAGAAATGATATTTTGATTTAAATAATCAAAAGAGATCGAGGGTCTTATAAATGGTGTTAATCTATAAAATCTTGGGGTTTGAGATCACATGAAAAACACGATTTAAAGTCATTATAAAGTTTAGTAAAAGAAATAAATTGAACCATGTCGAATTCAAGCACTGTATGTTGTAATTTGAAGACGGTCAAATCTATTCTTATTATATATATATGTTCAAAAACTCACGTAAAAGAATAATTTTTTTAGGAAAAGTACGCAACAAATTATTGATGATTTTAACTTCTAAGTTTGATTTGCACATTTGTAAAGAGTTTTAGATTAATCGAATCTTAGGCATTAAATGTGCTCTATGCCCGTCACCTTTTACTAAATCATCAAGTTACGAATTTTAGGATGGTTGTCGGCCTGGGCACAGCACAACCAAACCAGTCACGGGCAAGTGTTTAGCGAGCCGTTCCAAATAACTTAATTGTTGGTTCGTATTCTCATGACATTACGAGTAGAAGTGTAGAGTTTGAACATGATATAGTTAAACTAAAAATTGACCAAAATGCAGATCGATTCTTTTCCTTTTCTAAGAAAAACTTTATTCGGTCCAATTTGCGAAAATTGTAAACCGTGTGGGACTAAGGTGAGTATAAAACCGAACCAAATCGAACTGAGTTATACGATGCGAAATAAAAAAAAAAATCAAACCAAAATTTCTCTCTCCCTCTTTAGGAAATTTTAAGAAATTATAAGATCCATTAAACCTCAATTTATAATATCTATTTCAGAATGACAAAACTCAATCAAACCTCTTTTTCTAGAAAAAAAAAAAGAGAGAGAAAAGAAAAAAAAAGCCGCGAGCCCTTTTTCTCGCTTTAAAAATAAAAAAAAAACAAATTAGCCCGCTTCCCGCCTCTATATATAACAGATTCCCCTCCCATTTCCGATCGTCTCCCTTCCCCGAAAATTTTGAAATTCTCCTCTTCTTCGCAGAGCAAGAAGCCAACCTGCGAGCACACACAGAGACGCACGGAACTTCATCGCCGATCGTCGCGCTCCGTCGCCGAAGATGCTTTCGTCTCTCAAGTGAGTTTCACGACACTCCTCCGCTAGATTTCGATTCCTCGTGTCCTTTTTTCCGCGATGCGATCGCCGGCGGCGATTCCTGAGTTTCGGCTCGTGTTGTTCTCTCGTCGATGTCCAGAGCCGAGGAGCAGAGCCAGCTGCAGATCGTGGAGAGAGAAGACGTCGGCGGCGACGAGGAAGACCTTTTCGAAACGATCGACAAGCGTAAGTTAGAGCCAAACGGAGTGTAGGCAACTGCTCTGTGTTCGTGTCATCGCTTTCGTAATGAGTTTCGGTGTGTCGTGTTTAGGCTTGCGAGGCGAAGGTTCGGTTTGATTCTGAGATGATAATCGTGATTTTCTCATCGTCGACCTAGCTTTGTTCGGTCTCTGTTCCGGAGTTAATATGGAAATTGCAAATGGTTCGATGGAGCTATAACTGTAAAAATCTCTTTGAATGTCAATAGTAAGTGACTCTGAATACGATCGACAGTCAGTAATAAGTTAAGGCGAAACAGAGTCATGGTTTTCTGAGATGATTATCATGATTTTCTGATAATCAGAGTCATGTTTAGGCTTTGCGAGCGAAGATTCGCTTTGATTCTGAGATGATAATCGTGATTTTCTGATCACCGAGTCGATTGTTGACTTCGCTAATTTGTTGGAAGCTGGGATGATTATCGCGATTTTCTCGTATTTGAAAGTCGACCTAGTTTGTTCGCGTCTCTGTTCTGAAGCTATAATGAAATGCAAATGGTCCGATGGAGCTATAACGGCAAAAATCTCTTTGAATGTCGATATTAAGTGACTCTGAATACTGCTGAGCGGATGAGCTCGATTTCAGTTTGGTTGCACAGTTTAGCTCGATTTTCCTGGAACATCACCGTGAATCCATTAGTGTTCTTACATCTCGACCTTTCTCTTGAACTTGTCGTGATTTTCTGTGTGTACAATAGTTTTTGTTTTTGTCACAAATTCTTCAGCCTTTGTTATGCTATGCGACATTGGAATTGCACCAATAGTTTTAGGTTATATTAAGTGACTCTGAATACTGCTAAGCGGATGAGCTCAATTTCAGTTTGGTTGCTCAGTTCAGCTCGATTTTCCAGGAACATTACCGTGAGTCCGTTAGTGTTTGTACATCTCAACCTTTCTCTTGAACTAGTTGTGATTTTCTGTACGTACCATAGTTTTAGTTTTTGTCACAAATTCGGCCTTTGTTATGTTGCGTGACATTGGAATTGCACCATTGTATGTCTTATTTTCCATGTAATTGTGACATAGCTAGATTAGTAACGAATATCCTAAGCTAAATTTGATCAATAGTCACTGTTGGAACACTAGATTGTCATTAATCTAGGAAATGCTTCTGTCCTGACATTCTGCATTCACCAGAAAACGTAGAGTTTAACACGATGGTGAGTTGTTTTCATTTTCTTTCTCTGAAATGTTTTCTTGAACTTGTTGTGATTTTCCGTGCGTACAATAGTTTTAGTTTTTGTCACAAATTCTTCAGCCTTTGTTATGTTGCGCGGCATTGGAATTGCACCATTGTATGTCTATTTTCCATGTATTTGTGACATAGCTGGATTAGTAATGAATGTCCTCAGCTAAATTCATCAATAATCACTGTTGGAACACTAGATTAGTAGATTGTCATTAGACTAGGAAATGATTCTGTCCTGACATTCTACATTCACCAGAAAACATAGAGTTTAACACGATGGTGAGTTGTTTTCATTTTCTTTCTTTGAATTGTTTTCTGTTTGCAGTTATATCTCAGGGAATCAATGCTGGAGATGTGAAAAAGTTGCAGGATGCAGGAATCTACACTTGCAATGGCTTGATGATGCACACGAAGAAGGTATCTGATCTTCAGTTCTGAGAATAAAATTGAGGTACCTCTTCTTATTGGGTTAAGGCGATTTCCTTTTTCTTTGTTTTTTTTTTTTTTTTTGTAGCACTTAACTGGAATCAAAGGTTTGTCTGAGGCAAAAGTTGACAAGATATGCGAAGCAGCTGAAAAGATAGTGGTTAGAGCTTAAATTCTTCTTATCCTGAGATGGTGTCTCCAATCAATTTGAACTTCTATAAGCATCTCGCATTGACTTCCCTTTGTTTCATCAGAATTTTGGCTATATTACTGGAAGTGACGCTCTGCTCAAAGTAAGTTCTTAATTCTGCAAACTTCGTGCTAAAATGGTTTGGAATACCTCAATGAGTCATTGACCTTTGAAGTAAAGCCTGCAAATTATCTTTACGGACTGTATGAAGTTGCACTGGCTCTAAACACTAGTGACCTTACAGAACAAAGTACTTTTAATGTCTTTGTTTCCAGAGGAAGTCAGTTGTTCGCATCACAACTGGAAGCCAAGCCCTCGATGAGCTATTATGCGGTAATAGACTTTCTTTTGCAGACTGTGTGTCTTATTCTTCATGCATTTCAACAAAAACACATTTCACCGTTATGCAATGTTAAACAGGTGGTATTGAAACTCTGGCAATTACAGAAGCATTTGGCGAATTTCGGTGAAAAGCACAGTCCAAAAACATTACCTTTGATGAACTTTTAGTTGGTTTTGTTAGTTGGCTTTCTCAGAAAATGCTGCTAACGTCACCTCAGGTCTGGGAAAACACAACTTGCACATACCCTGTGTGTTACTACTCAGGTCGGTCTAAATTGGATATTACGTTTCTGTAGTTAAATTCTGTTGCATTTTTTGTTCTGATGAACAATGCCAAATAGTAACATAATGATTGAATTTCTACAAAGAATTAAGCTGTGGGTGATCTTGGCATCAGAACGTGTGTATTAGGTGATTCTAGAAGTATGCACTCTCACTTTTTGTAATCTACAATCAGTATACTGGAAGGCATATACAGTGGCTCAAACCAAGTAGGAAAAAGGCCAGAGGAGTTTGTACTATGTCATAACCGAGTAAAAGCCTTAATTATTGTCAGACTCGGACTCGGGTTGATCATTAGTCGAATGTGATGCTTGAAGATACTCTACTTTTTTTGCAAATCCTACAACAGTATTTACCCCTGTTTTTAATCATTCTTTATTAATGGTTTGTGGATTCCGTGTTCGTAAAAAATTTTCAGCTGCCAACTCACATGAGAGGAGGAAATGGCAAGGTAGCTTATATCGACACAGAAGGAACTTTGTATCCTATTATAATTTGTCTGTATTTTTCTTGACCTCTACAAAGCTGCTTCTGTTTCATAATCGTCTTATGTCCATGTAAGTGCATGTGCACTTTCTTAACTTAGTACACCTGCAGTCGTCCTGATCGAATAGTACCAATTGCCGAGAGATTTGGCATGGATCCTGGTGCAGTCCTAGATAATGTAAGCTAAGCTTTCTATACTGGTGGCAACTTATCTTTCTTTTCTGGCTAGTGTACTTGCTATAATCTAGTCTTTCCATGAATTTCAGATCATTTATGCCCGTGCCTATACTTATGAGCATCAATACAACTTGCTTCTTGGTTTGGCTGCCAAAATGTCTGAAGAACCATTTAGGTTGCTGGTAAGACACTGCTCGAGAATCAAACAGTGCGGATTTTATGAGATGTGGATGGTTGACCTTAGGTGAGTACCATTTTCAGATTGTGGATTCAGTGATCGCTCTCTTCCGAGTGGATTTTACTGGAAGAGGAGAACTTGCAGAGCGCCAGGTTGATCCTGAAACTATCAAATCATTCGAGTTGTGATTCTTCAGCTCATTTGGTTGGACACTTATAGATTCCGAATTGCAGCAAAAATTGGCGCAAATGCTTGCACGTTTAATTAAGATAGCTGAGGAATTTAACGTTGCAGTCTACATGACCAACCAAGGTATTGCATCACATATCATTTCTCCCACATAGTCGTGCATCCATGTAAAGATCTTATCCAGTTTAGCCCTTTGATGGTTGCACTCTGAAAGATAGCAATCTGGGGACTGCACTAAGCTCATACTAATTCGTGAAATCTCAAGAACTAGCTATTTAGTGTTCACCAGTGATACATAGAGTAGCTGCAATCCATGAGTTAGAAAAAAAGATGATTTTTGATAACTTTGTCTTTGGTTTATTTGTTTCAGTCGTAGCTGATCCAGGTGGTGGCGTATTCATATCAGACCCAAAGAAACCCGCAGGTGGGCATGTTCTGGCTCATGCAGCCACAATTAGGTTGATGTTTAGGAAAGGCAAAGGTGAGCAGCGTGTTTGCAAGGTGTTTGATGCCCCAAACCTACCTGAAGCTGAAGCTATATCCTTTTTGACCGGATCTTCGTCTAGCTATACACTTTATTCTATTGAAATTTACTAGATTATACTGCAGAAACCAAATGAAATATCTAAATTTCTATATCAAAATCGGAGAGAAAATCGATACTAAGTCTACATATGGATAGGTGGAGACCAGATTTTATGGATGATACTTACAGTATACTTGATGTTGCTTGGAGACTTAGTATCTTGTGCGGAGGAATTAAACAAAAAAAAGATGATATTGAGAATTCCTCTGAGCAGGACTGGTAGATTAGCTGCACAGCCGATGCTATGTACAGAACACACATCTGTCAATATCTTTGCTTGATTTCCTCAGAAACTTTACCAAGAGCTCGCCATGTCAATAAGGGAAGACTGAGATTTGTTACATGTGTGTTAAACTTAACAAACACACGTTTTTCAGATAACACCAGGAGGCATAGCTGATGCAAAGGACTAAAAGAGGTCTCTGCAACCAGAAAAATAAGGCCAGGCTAAGTGCCTTCTCTGTTATCCGCACTTTGACATTAGTTATGGTATTGACAGCTTCCTCTATCTTCTTTCATATTAAGTCTGTATCGGCACGAGTCAAGTTCCCGTTGACAGCTTAACTTGACTGCCGCTCTAGCCTTAACATCAAACATTCTTTCATTGTCTGTTACTAAAGTTCATATGACCCTTCATAAGGCGTTGTGCTAACTCAATTTCTATATGGGAACTAGCATGCTCCAAGTTATTTTGGTCTAAATTACCAGTAGAGATAACAGTCACACAATAGACATCTCAGCTAAAAAACATTAGATCGAATAAACTCAGCATGATGGCTAAACAATATGCCAGAAAGATATTATTGCACATAGCATGATCAGGTTCTGTAAAGGCTTGGTTTTATAAGCAACATGTACAGCTGCATAAAACGTCTTCTCAAACTCTCAACATAGAGCAACCGACCATTAGAGCTGAAAATTGTCAATGAGAAAGGGTGACTGGGTTATAAGCAAAAAGGCCATTCAATAGCTAATGGCCTGGCCAAAAAAGGGCCACAAACCTTATGACTCAACTCTAGGCATGCTGGACCATTTAGTCTCCGCATCCACTTTGAATGTAGCACCGCACACTTGTTCAAAGCTGTCCACCCTATGATGGTGGAACGCTATGATTCTTGGTGATTCTCATGTAAAGCATGGTGCATTTTCATTCACAATTTGTTGGGTGGGTCACTCAAGTGAAAAAATAAGCAAACTTTTTGGGCATCAAGCAGAGTTGAAGATATGTCATCAAGAGTGTAACTTACGGAGAGACAAGACAATGATTTGTCTGAAATCACAAACTCTCTCTCCCTCTCTACATGAGTCGTGTGTCTGTAGGTACCAAATCAAGAATAGGATTGTCCGTTGACTCTGTCGCTTGGCCACAGTGTGCTGAAACAAAAAAATCGAGACAATAAGAAGATGAAGTTCTATACTTCGTGATCGACCAAGAATTCTTGAATGTATCGGGTGGGTCCACGTGAGCTTAATACAATCACAAGTTTGGAGTTTTAGTAGGTTCCATGTGAGATTTATACGATTTAGCGGTTGTGGTTTACCGAGCTCACCTGAACATAATGCATCTAATATTGACTTGGAATCACACGTGCCCGGTTCGTGCATGTATCCCTATAAGAGAAATAAAATTCTCGGCACGCGTGAAATATAGTTAAAGTGGGATAAAACCCAACTAAAAATAATGGCTATGATCCATAGGAATCAAATCTCACTTAAATGAGTTCTGCTTGTCTAGGACTAGATAGAGCCACCGACTCTATATTAAAGTGAAAAACAAAGGTGGTATGAGTTTTGGCAGAAAATTAAATTAAACGAGTATTCTTTTTTTTTTGGGTCGGAATTAATCGAGTAATTGAAATGCTAATCATGATAGGCGTTTGATCTTTTCTTGATCATGTGTCATACCCTCTTAATTTGCACCTATAAGTTGAGAGGATCCTCTACATTATGGATTTAATTTTAATCGTGTGAGTTTAGTGCGATAAAATCCTTAACTTTAGTTGGTTCAGCCGCACAATTTAATGACTATGACCTATCGACGTCACCTAAAACCGATACGCCCAATACTAATACCGATGATCGACAGCAATGGAGACATTCAAGAAGAGACAAGTCATGATCGACGGTGTTGGCACGCCCAGATTTTTTTTTTGACAAAAAATTTAGTTTCATTAAAAACTGATTTGGGTCAAATAGAGGGAGGATTTCAGCTTGGCAATGAGTCGTTGAGATGCTAATTACAATAGCCGTTAGATCTTTTCCCTAGAAAATGTCATGTGATCCTAAGTGATAATTTGACCCTCTCAATTTGCCTTTTGAGTTATGAAGACTAGGGGTGAGCAACTTGGACCGCCCAAATCGGGACCGGACCGGATCGGACTGAACTGACGGGTTTGGTCCGGTTCTTGGAACTATCGGTCCGGTTCCCGGTTCCTAAAAGCAGAACCGGTTTCTGGGCGGTCCGGTTCCCGGTTCTAAGGGGGAACCGGACCGATTATTTAATATATATTTTTCTTATTTTTTTTCTTTAAAAAAATTAATAAAATTTGAACTAAACTCTAAGTAAACTTCATCATCATAAATTCATTGATAAAAATTAGTAAAATGTGAATTAAACCCTAAGTGAACTTCATTGACATAAATTCATTAACAAAAATTAGTAAAATGTGAATCAAACCTTAAGTGTTTAACCAAAAAAAAAAAAGCTAAACTTTAAGTGACCGGTTCCATTGGACCGGACCGGAACCGGACCAGACCGGCGGTCCAGTCCGGTTCCCGGTCCTAGAACCAACCGGTCCAGTCCACGGTTCCCAAAATTGGGAACTGGTTCTCTCGGTCCGGTTTCCGGTTCCAAGGTGGAATCGGATCGGAACAGGAACTGATCACCCCTAGTGAAGACCCTTTTATATCGATTTTTGTTTGCTCCTCAGTGTTCTACTTCTATGTACACCATCTATATAATTATATAAAGTAAAGAGAACCTCCCACTTTTAAGGGATCTCGGTAATTTTTTCCCTTCCAAAAACGTGCTTGATTGTCTCTATTCGACAAATATCGTATCCACTGTACAAATGTATTAGTTAATCATTTTATTTATCGCTGACACGTTTCAATAATAAAAGTTGAATCCTCTCTCTCTTAATAATCTTCTCTATCTGCACATATATATTTTTATATAAATTTTTTTTATAATGTCTATATTCATCAATAACTTCTTCCATTACTTAATGATTCAAATATTTTACAATAGGGTTAATACCACAAAAAATTCTAAATTGATACATTTGTGACAAATTTACCCTAAACTAATTTTTTGATCACTAAAAACCCCTGTACTTGTGATAAATTTACCCTCCGTTAGTTTCCGTTAAATTTTTTAGTTAAATTTCTGAGTTGGATGACACGTGGCAGCTGATTGCTTTACCGGTTTACCCATCTTTTTGTCACAGATTTACAAAATTTATGATTTTTTATGATATTAATCCAATTTAACGGAAGGTAAATTCATCACAAGTGTACCAATTTGGGGTTTTTTGTGGTCAAAAAATTAATTTGTGGTAAATTTGTCACAAGTACACCAGTTTGGGGTTAAATAAATTTGTCACAGGTGTATTAGTTTAGGATTTTTTGTGATATTAACCCTTTATAATAAGATGGTCCTGTTTTTTTTAAATGCCAATTTCTTGCGTATGAGCGATGCGCGAGCACATTTGCCAGTTCATATGCCACTCTGTCCATGGAAAGGATTAAAGGATCTAATCTCCTTCGCTGCAGTAATCGTGGATCCTAAAGTTGAGATTCGACGTAATCGGCTATCTTAAGAGCATCTTAATGAGCTATGAACATCTATTTTCTCATGAGATTCTTGAGGTTAAGATTTCTTGCGGTGATGACAGACTTAGGGGTACGCAACTCGTGTCAAGCATATGAATCTATACAGGCACCGGAATAGAATTTGCATTTTGAGTACCGTGACAACTTGTCACTTTTCCCTCCCAAATTTTAAGAATAGAAAATATTACGTAAATTTCGGAAAATTTCGAGAAAAAATCGTACACCATTCCGCATGTTCATGTTTGAAACTTTTACAAGGTTTCATTTATCTCGAATTAAATAAAATTGAATTACAAAAAATGCACAAAAACAATTAAAAGTGAAAGTCACCCTAAACAGTTTTCATGAACTGCACGTAATTTCCATATTTTATTAATTTGTAACAAGTAATATTTTCCAATTATTGAAACTTGTTTGATTAAATCTTGATTTTGAGCTCTCCTATGTTTGACAATTTATTTGTCCAGATTTATAAAATTGAATTTTGGTTCCATATTTTTCACGAAAATAACCCTTCCCACTTTTTGGGGATTAAAGTCGGCTGTCTAATCTCTCCCTAGGAAATAACTATTTCCACCTTGGCCTCTTTCATCAGATAGCTTACACAACACTCAATTCAAACTCCTCAGCTTTTGAATAACGAATCGGAATAATTCGCGCTAGGGAACCTTTCAAAAGGTGATAGTGATCCGCCCAATCTCCTATTCTGATACCATTTATTATCGATGCGACGAGATGATAATATGGGACCGCTTCATTTTGTGCTCACCACTGTCAGATCAAATCCCAAATTGCGACCCCAAAGTTATCAACGACACTTCAACGACGGGTGGCTCACTTGAATTACCCACGCCCGAAAGGCAAATGAGCGGGCTTAGGCAACGGCTTGAGCTTGGCCCGAATACTTCTAATTGAAAATACATATCACGAACGGGTTTAGGCATTACTATAGGCTCGACCTCCGGGCCGGCCTGGCCGGGGCCAGTTTAACGATCGGCTCTATTTCGACCCTTTCCTTAGATCCACACTCCACAACCTCCGGTTCACGCTCGGTTCTGGAGGCTCGGCATCCATGGCCGCAGGGAGAGGGCCGAGCTTCCAGATTTAGGGCCGCGCCTCAGGACTCAACACGACGAAGGACGGGGGTCTCGACCGCCATGGACGACGATAGAGAGATCTTGCCATTACTCGGATGCAAAATTTAGAAAAATGAAATTTGAATCAACGGGTGAGATTTGAACTCGATTCAAGGCAAATGCCGCCGCATGTAGAAAGATCCAACGACTCAACAACACGTGTAAGCAAAACAATCTCTTCCTCACTTTCTCAACCAAGAAAAAATCTCTCAGCATAGACTTCAGTTTGACTCAGCAACCCTGTCTTTCGTTGCAGAAAGTCCCCACTTCGACCCGAAGTAAAAACCCAAAAGTTTATTCCGAATATTGTTGAACTTCCTGAGGACAAGTGAAAGGCCAAGAACGTAAGCGGGTCCTCCGATCTCCGTTCTTGGTCATCGATCGCCACGCGCTTTGCTCAGCTCGCCTTCTCGATCAGCCATGGCTACCGCCGTCGTTGCTGCTGCTGCTGCAGTTTGTCTCGCCGTGATCTCCGTTCAGCTGCCCGCGCCTGCTCTCGGCAACGTTTTGTCCCCTGTCCTTACGCCCATCGCCGGTTCGCGCCGTTGCTTCCCGCTGAAAGATGCTCCTCTGTTTCGGTTACTGTTCTTATGGTGTTTGGCAATTTGGGTCGGAGAGGGATTGCCGGGTTTTTATCTGGGGCTGTCCTTTTTAGGACATTTGGCCAACTGGGTGTTTCTCGACTGCAGTTCGATTTTGTTTTTTTTTTTTTTTTTCATTTGGTTTCTTTTGGGTGCCTCGATGTTGCAGATGAGGTGTGCAAAGAAGCGAAATGTGGGAGAGGAGCGTGCAAGCCCAGTGGGAACAGCACTCTCTTGTATGAATGTGAATGCGACCCTGGATGGAAGCAGACTCTTTCAAGCACCGATAGTCATCTCAAGTTCCTGCCTTGTGTAATTCCTAACTGTAATCTCTCTCTCTCTCTCTCTCTCTCTCTCTCTCTCTCTCTCTCTGTGCAGCTACTATTCAGGATAAGATGTTTGAGATAAGAGTGCATTGATGTGATGCGATGATCCCGGTTGATGTCTTCTGTTGGGTTGCTCTCTGTGTATTACCGGTTTTACAATCCATGGCGTGTAGTTTTGTATGGCGAATTAAGATCTGGTAACGGATGATTCATACCAGCTAACTTTCCATAAGAAGACTTTACTAATTACTGCTACGGGATAGATCAACTTCTGTCATACTGCGTAGATTGTCACAAAGTACGTCCGACTTAGTTTCATATTGTGCATAGACGAATGCTTCCAATATTTGCCGAAGAAGACAGAAATGAGACTTTATAAGCTGGGGTTATCCTTTGTCTGTTTGATCTATCTGTTGATAATTTATTTTCAGCTAGTCATCCTTCCAAATGAGTTCAGGTGGACCATATGTGGAATTATTAGTACGCAGCATGTCCTAAATGAAATACAAGAAAATCTAACCAGTTTGTAGGGCACAATCAAGTATGAGTCTATGAACACAACAGTTTTGACTGGTTATCTGTTTAAGCTATAATTTAGTGTTAATTGCTCCGTTCTGCTTTGTTTCTATCAGCTTGTCTGGTGGATTCTCTATGGATTTAATTGAACAAGGGAGTCCTAGATTGATTGTTATTGATACTTTGAAGGTGAAACGAACCCTAAAATAATTAAAGAAGAACGTGTCATAGTCGTCAATTTCTAAATTATTATTTAGCTTGAGTTGGTAATGGAGGTCAATCAAATTCTTATCTTGTCTATGGTTTCGTGTTACTCTGAGATTTTGTCTGACGTCATTAGTGCAACAAAAGTCCAGCCCAAAAATTTGAGCTACTAGTTGGAGAGAGACTACATGAAAAGGCACGTCGAATTGATGAATGGGAAGCCTCACACTCGAGACAAATCTAGGGCGAAATTGGCTTTGATGTCATGTGAAAAAGCCAACCGAAAAAAGTTCAGCTATTAGGATATAAGGTTCATATAGTCCTATAGACAAGCGATGTGGCATAGTTTCACAGTTAGAAACAAAGTTAAACAAGCAACTGTAAAATGTGATGTTGACGCGATACCTAAGCTGATGTCAACAAGTGTATTCTCATTCCTCCACCTAATAAGACTCAAATTTGGATATTCTGAATACTAGTATTGATTTCTTGTCTAAAAGGTTATAAGACAGAGACTTTTGTGATTGCTGAAATGAAAGATTTATAAATTCACTGTCTTAATGCGTGTTGGCTTGAGCCTTCGTTAACAATCCCACTTTCTCAACCAGTCTTTCTCCCCCCGAGCTCTGACTGTTCAACTAGACTTAGCATAGGTTTAACTTCTCTATGATTACATGTCTATGGTGAAACCAACACTCAAAATTGATCAATAATGGCAAAACGAAAAACTTTGATGGATACTGATCTTCTTAGAACTTATATTACCAGACTTGCTTTCACTAGTTGTTAGCCAAATGAGAGAGAAGATTCCATTTAATGTCATAAAGATCGGTAGTGTCAAGATCACAGAACTTTTCTATGTGTCCAGTTGTTTTAAATGGCAAGATGTCCTAGTAAGTATTATCTATACGAGTTTGAAACTGCAGTTTACTGGGATCTACTAGACTTGAGGCAATAATTTCTTTCATGTGCCAAGATGTATACAAGAATGAAATATCCGATATTTAACCTTAAAGATTTTACTTTAATAGTTGTTTCTTTTGTTCATTAACTTTATATGATTTGGTTGGTGCTCTGATACTCATTTCCCTTGTTTCCTCATTTTTTGCAGGCACCCTCAATTACTCTTGCATGAAATCCCCTGCTTCAGCTGAGGAGAAAACAAAACAAGCTAACGAATCAATTTTGAACCGTAACTACTTACCTTTGATCTGCTTGATGTCTTAAGTTGCTTTATGCTGGTTTGTAGATAAGTTCATGCTAAATTTGGTTGCCTTCTGCATTTGTAGCCTGTCATTGGGTTGATTGCGGAGGCGGCTCCTGTAACATGACTTCAATTATCTCGTACAGTTGCCTTTGTGATGAGGGCTACCACAATCTCTTCAATCTCACTCCTTTCCCGTGCTACACACAATGTAAGTCCTCAATTATTTTTCTCTAAACGGGAAAGGAACAGTTTTTCTGTTTTTGTTTTCCAGAAGTTAGTGATTGAGAGAAATAGTTGTTCTCTAAGGATTAACATTTCCAGTTTTCCTAATGGGCCAAATGTTGGTGAGTCTAATTAGTAATTCCTTTTGAAGGTGCAATTGGAATGGATTGCCTGAATCTTGGGATTTCATCTTCAAATAATACTGCTTTGGCACCCACTTTGGCAGACAGTGATGGGTCTCGAGGTAAGGTTTAAGCAAAGTCCCTAACTCAATTGGCTTTTGAGCTCTCTGAATTGCAAGAACAACTCTTGCCCCTAGTGAAGAGTGTAAGATATACTAACAAAGGTTAATGTGTTTCATTTGTGCTAAAGATGATTAATTTACTTAGTTGAGTCCAAGCACAGGCGTAAAAAACTAAACAAGACTTCTTCAGAGAAGTGCAGTCTTGACGTGGAAGAAATTGACAAGGGGAAAGTCACAGTTTCTGCTTATTGAATAAAATCCATCAAGAGCTGGCCAAAAAGCAAAAAAAAAAAAAAAAGAAAAAAAGAAAAAAGAAAAACATCAGTCAAGAGACTTTTTTCTTAGGCTGAATCATATCTTCAACGTCTCTCTTCTTTCTGCAACAGGCTCACTTATGCGAGGGAGTTCTCACTGGTTAGTTGCCCTGATGTTCTTTTTGGGCATTCTTCAGTGCCCATAAAGCAAAAGGTAAAGTCGAAAGCTGATATCTCTTGTAGCATACTAGAATTGGAGATTGCGGATGATGTTTTTGTGAATAACCTTATGCGGAGGTCAGGTCCGTTTGATGCCTGATGTTTATTATTCTTCGATGAGCTGTTGTATAGATTAGTTGACTGAACCCAACAGACAAGTGACTGTGAATAAAAGTTTTCATGAGAGTGAGATGTTAGTAGATTGTTCAAATCTCACGCTTCTATTAGCCCTCTTATTCCCTTATGATCTCGTACATGAATTGTCTTGCTCATAAGCTGTCTTCTTCTGCTTATTCCTAGAATTTATAACAAGAATGTCGGAGTATTTTGCTGTTTTCTTTTGCAAGAAGCTTTACTGTAACAACGTGCGCAACCCGCTGGGCCAAAACCCGAAACAGAATATTCACGCGGTGAGCTATGAGGATTCATCTGTATGTATGTATCACCTAAGCGGCAAGCTATCTTTCTCCGATATGGGATTAGGATGTTACAGTTGTGCATGCTTTCTTGACCAAATATATGCAGAAAGTTAGATTACATGTAAGGTGCCTAATTGCTTCGTATCTTTCCTCATTGCTTCGGCTGTCTTATTTTCTACTTGTACTTTCTTATGAATAGCGATAGTGCATGGGCATAATAGACGCGAGATCATTTTAGGACCTACGTGCATTCGGTAAAACATTCTTCGCCTTTTTCACTGTTAACCATTGAAGATCGATGTGCTTAGCATGCTTCATGCATGCAGAATGCAAACGATCCGGAGTTATACTTTTGATAGGATTCATTATTCAATCGATCAATGGTAGAGGTGTCAAATGGGCGAGTCGGGGTTTGCTTTGGCTATGTCTTAATTTTTCCTTTGTTTTCGTTGCTGTTGTGAATATCATTAAATTAAGGTGAGGGAAACTACATTGAATGGATCGACCTTAGAGCTGATGAATTTGTTTGGGCTAACCAATGATGTTGAGGGCAAAAATGATCAAAGGACTGAATCTTAAAAGTGACCCAGAATAGTTGCACACTCTTTTCACTCTTCGGAGGATCTTTAGTGTAACCGGGTTAAAAAACACTCGAGGGTAAGTCATTTGGAGCGTTGGTAATCTTTGTTATGTTGGTTACAGTGGAAGAGGGTAAAAGTGGATATTCCGAAGAAAGTCCTCATAATATTGTCATGTTGAAATTAAATCGCTACCGAGCGAGATGGCTCTTTCTTGATGCATTAGTTCTGGATATTCGAGATATTTAAGCATACTTTACTTCAATATTAGAAAATTATGCGTTTCCGTTCCCTTAGGGTTATCGAATTATGTGTACTCAATAATTACGAATTATCAAGTTAATGTAAAATCAGTATACTTAACCGAAGATGAGACCAAGTGAAGGAGGTCTACGAGGCGAGCTCAAGGTTTGTATCGCATGGTCTGGTGAACTTGGTCAGGCTGCATCGATCCTAAATTCTGATACCAAATTCGGCCCACAGGGCGAGCTTAATTTTTCAATTTTATTTTAACCTTTTTAATCCTATAGAATATACCTTTCGAGTTTGTTTCAAACATATCCCAGTCCCTTTAACACCATCTGTGAGAGCAAATATACTACTAGTTTCTTTCCCAAATCCAACTTTGTCACTAAGGAAAGAGGATTATCTAATTTTATTATTCAAGAAAGGATATTCAAGGGAGAATAATCTAACAGATGCATAATTCAAGGGAAAATATTTCTTTGGCTGCATATCAGCCTTATTTAATTTATTAATATTTTTTTGGAATTTTTGGTATGAAGAGAAAAAGAATTAGGTTAGTCTAAAAGAAACATAATCTTAATTGTAATATTCAAGGCTGAAGAGGGCACAAGGACAATCTCTCTACTCCAGCTGCAGTGGTCCGACTCTACAAGAAGTACAAAAATTGGGAGAACGCATGAGAAACCAAGACTCGCAAAACATAGCAACGAGAGCCGATGCGGCCAAGACATGGTTCGGCACCAATTTGCAACTCAACAGGAGCAACGTCGGTCTTCCGTGTGTTTCCGCCGGTAACGAAGTTGTCTCCGGAGATTTAGCTCGGTATGTATTACCGACAGCGCAAAATCTTCAACCGATTGAAGTAAATTATAAATATGATGGAGTGAGGGTTGCTGTGACAATCTCGTCTGGCACCGCTGGAGTTCTTACCAGCGGCCGGACAACTTCTGGGCAAATAAATGGCTCTTCTTCTTCGGACACGTTTAGCACGGTGCTAGAACCTTAAGCGGTGCACTCTCCGATGAAGCTTAGGCTGACAGGGTTGGGATCATAAACTTCTCATCAAGTACTAGCTCATACCCATTAATTAATGTGTATCCGTATTTTGTGTACACCTCTTATCCAACTAATGTGAGATTAGGTTACGCTCAATTCATTGCATCTTGTCCGGTGCTTCAAGATGGCAACTTTAGTTATACGAACATTCTCAATGCGATCATGCACATTATAATGGCGATGGAGAAGGAATTCTAGAGAGTGCTTGGCTGTGAGGATTAGAACTTCCAATTTTAATCCACGCGTGAGATTTAATTTTAGGACTATCGAGTGAAGCAATTGGAAAATTTAGAAGCCAATTGAAGTCAATACATAAGATTTAGAACTTCCAATTTATTGTTCCTCAAAATTAAAATTTATTAGATTCCTGTTGCACGAAGCTTCATCTAAACAACTCATTGACTCGAAACAAGATCCAAGTGGATGAATAGGAACGATGTTAAAACAAATCTGTGGATACCTACTTATATAGTCCACTTCTCTTAATCAACCCTACGAAAATACAGGATAAACCGGAGTCCCATCCGGATAGAATAAGCCCCAATTTTGCTCCACGCCCTGAGGCTTTTGATCCTCATTAAACATTGCAAAGATGAATCCTTCCAGGTAGTGGTCTGGCCTCTTAGGAGTTGCTTGCTTGGCAAGAAACTTCTTCACAAAATTTTGATTATAAGTTTGCGCAAGCTGCGGAGTGGTGAAGTCTCCGTTTCCAGCCGACGGCCAACCGCTCTCCGAAACCACCACATCCACACTGCTCACGCCTTCCTTCTCCATCGCCCAGTAGAAAGCATCCACAATCGCGTCGAGCAAGTTCGAGTAACTCAAGTTGCCATCCTGAACCACTGGACCGGGCGCAGTGAATTGAGCATAATCTAATCTCACGTTAGTTGGATCTGAGGCATATGCAAAATAGGGATACGCATTAACTAGTAATGGGGAGCTAGTGCTCGACAAGAAGTTTATGATTCCAATCATGTCGGCTCGAGCTATGTCGGTGAATACACCGCTCGAGGGTGGGTATGAACTCCCCAAGGTACTGCTCGCAACTACTGTGGACACCCTCAGTCCAGTATATTTATAATTACTTATAGTAGTTTGTAAATTTTGCATAGCCAGTAATACATATTGAGCCAAATCTCCGGGAACGACTTCATTACCGGCTGTAATATACTGAAAATTGATGTCGCTTACGTAGGGTTGCACGTTGGTGTCGAACCATGTCTTAGCCGCATCAGCACTTGATGCTATGGATGGTAAGTCTTGGTTCTTTATGCCTAGCGTGACATCTATTCCACTGCCCCGAAGTGCATTGAGCACGTCGGGGTTCGGGTCATAAAGTCTCATTTTTCCAATGATGTACCTCTTGTAGAGTTGGACCACCGTCGCCGGAGAGGGGAGATTGTCGCCGACCATTCCGTAGTTCACACCGATGTCAAGCTGGGCCATTGTGATTCCGATATGGTAGTGCCGCAATGCTACTATTGATAGAACGAGGATCACCAAAGTTGATGCCATCTCTGAGATGCCTACTTCAAAAGCATGAAAATTATCATTAGTTAGTAATCTGAAAGATAAAATAAGAATGAAGACATGTGATATTAGACTTGCACCGTTTCATGATATGGACCACCTTCAATTTGATCCTAATTTTCTTAGGAAAATTAAATGGTTAAAGTATGCCCTCCCTTTATAGTGCAAAACATTTAAATGGTGTGGCATATAGAACTTCTAAGACATGAAAAATAAGAAAAAAGAAAGATTTTTTTCTCAAACTTTACTATGAGAGAGAGAAACATGTAAAGACTTACAGGAGAGCTTTGATCAATGGAAACAAAAACGACTTGTCCTTGAGAACAGAAGACCTTTTATTTATTGGCAATAATTTCAAAAACAAGAATCTATTCTGTACATGAATGGGATTCCAGTACGAGCATTAGTTGTGTTGGATATAATTTGGAGATTCTCTGCATTTAACCTGGTTATGCATGATTTCCAAGACAAGAATATTTGTTGTACATGAAATGGATGCCATTTTGAGCATTCGGTACAATAATATTTCTTCGTATTTCCTTAAATTGCGCATATATGTCCATAGAATATGCATATCCTTTAATTTGTTTTGATCGGTAGAAAGTACCATTTCACTCATATTTTTTTTGGTCGGATATTTCATTCATATTGAAAAAGCTGATAAGTACACCAAGTGGGCGGCTCAGCGTAACAAATCCCAAAGGGCATGAGGCCAATAAGGAACCCAGCTAAGAGGAAGGGTATCTTGGGTTTGGATCTTTACAACCCAATCCGCAACCTTGTTGTGGGTTCAGGCAGAGCCCGTTAAACGAGTGAGCCGGGATTGGATCGGGTCGTGAATGGTCCGACCTAAATTGACCCATTTACATGCAGTACAAATTTGACTACCCATACTCAACCCGACCCGTGATCCATTTCTTTTTTTCAATTTTTTCTTTTTAAATTGTTGCCTTTGAAGAATAGATGGCTCTATGGACGAACTCATTGAGTTAGTGAGTGAGCTTGGGGGTCGGCTATGGAGAGTCTGGCCCGGGCCATGCATAAATCATGAAATGGGCTTGGGCTTTAGACTCATTTTCACTTATTGGTAAAATTTTAAGTGACCTATATGCAACCTAGTCCACATAAGTGAGTTGAAAAATGAATTTATAACCCATATTCACACCTCAATTAGCAACACGTGAACACACAAAACTTCTCCTCCTTTTGACGTGTTGCAGTTTACACCCTATGTATTTTTCGAATGCAACTTATCGTCTCAATGGGCGTATTAAACTTTCACATCCAGCAGCAGATCAAGAACATTCTGACCAAGCCATGAAGAATGAATTACTTGTCTCAACAGTTCATGATCAGCTCAAGCTTTTCTCTTCCTCACGTCGAGTATTAAGCTAATTCGAATAAAGATTCAACTGGACGAAACAATTATGCTAGTCACCGTCGCTAAAGATTCCCGTGCAACTAATAGGAAAATCATAGCCGAAAATTCACATAGACATTTCATCATGCATGTGGGCGACAATGTGCATATTTCCAATAGTAAAGAACCTATCACTCATTTGGTTGAGTCATTTCGTCGTAATGATACAAGACCAAGCAGCAATCAACTTTCCAAATTGAATTAAGGTTAATACCACAAAAATCCCTAAACTGGTATACCTGTGATAAATATATCCCAAATTAATTTTTTGACCACCAAAAACCCAAACTGGTACAACCGTGACAAATTTACCAATTGTACTGTCAAATTGCTGAGTTGAATAACAAATGACAGTTGATAAATGTATCGGTTTGGGATTTTACCCTCCGTTTATCACAGGTGTACTAGTTTGGGATTTTTTGTGGTACTAATCAAATTTAACAGAAGGTACTATTTTGGTGTTTTTCGTGGTAAAAAATTTAGTTTGGAGTATATTTGTCATATGTGTACTAGTTTTGGGTTTTTGGTGGTTAAAAAATTAGTTTGGAGTAAATTTATCATAGGTGTAACAGCTCGAGGTTTTTCATGGTATTAATCCTTGAATTAATCACTTGAATTCGATAGGCATAGAATCAGGAGATGTCACATGGCATATGCTATTTATGTTCGAGTAAATTGGCCTCAGCAACATGCATTCTCAACTTACCCCAATTGTCCCAAAAAAATTGAAACACAAATAAATTATATGAGGATCAAAGTTTTTTTGTAATTATAGATTATTAATGTCTCAACATTAGTGAGACGTCTCTACAATTCACGTTCAACAGTCATGTCTCTTCGGATCATATCCTAATTGTTGCAATTATGGGTTAATTGTTGCAATTATGAATTAATGGACTAACAAATGTGAGCTTCATTGACATGACTATTTAGTTCACATCCTTTCAGTTTTCTACAGCAGTTTTAATAGACGTCTCTTTAGTTCACGGGGTCTTTGGTCTTTAAGAAGATGTGTCTCGAGTCATGTCTCTTAAGTTCTTGCAAGTAGTCCTTTAGATATGTCAATTTCGAGAAGTGTTCGACAGAGTCATGTTCGTAGAGTTCTAATATAAATGGGTTTGAGGTGTTGTATCTTGGAAGGCATACTTCGTGAAGCTGCTTAGTACCGTTTGCAGAAACTAATCACCTTAAGGAGATTTGGTTAGCCGTACCTCACCTGTGTATTTCCATTACAATTTTATAGCAATTGTGCAAGTTCAAATTTGGTTTGTAATTGTATCCCCTTTTACTCATCGGCTTGGTCATTATTAAAGTTGTTATAAGTAAAACAACTGAACCTAGTAGCGACCTCATGTTCTTCGACAGAAAATGCTCCTTGCGTGTAGTTTTTCTGTGAACCGCATATCGCAGAATGGCGTCTTGAGTACCTTTTTGCAAAATCTAGCAGCATCTTCGTCCCCTAGCAAACTTCCTTTTGCTGTATGAGCGCTTCCACAGCCTCATTAATCAAGAAATATTTGCTTACGGAAGTGAAAGGGAGTCGCAGAAAGCCTCTACTTTTTGAACGAAAAGAGTAGCTGAAGCGAAGTTTGTCTTGGAGGGAGCAATTTCTATTAGTCAGGGTAGGTCCGCGGTGCATGGAAAAAGAAACTAGACTGGTTAGATATCGACGGATATGTGGATGTATACGTAATGTTTGCTAGTCATATGTGTGATAGATCTCTTTCGAACTGGAACACAATAACGGTCGGACAAACTTCATACTCTTTACTACAACCAGAGGAGAAAATGGACAGTCTGTATAGCAGCTTATTTATCCATCTATGCATAGGCATACTTCAAGGGCCTCTACCCTCTCCGTGTTGAAAATGGTGTTGAAAATGGGAAGTTGAGAGAAAGGAACACAAGAGAATACTTAGAATACTCTTTGATATTTTTGTGGCTTGGCTATTTTTAAATAATTCAATCGCAAGCCCTTTTATAGGTACATAAAGACCCTTAGTACATTGTATGCATTTATTAAGACCTCATAAAACTCCTAGAACTTTGTAGTACATGAATCTTGAAAATCTAATGGACTAATTAAATGCATGACACATACATGAACTACATTAATGCACCTAGGAAGAAGTACATGGATAATAATGCACCTAGATTCATTAATCAAGTTTAATTTTCAACACTCCCCCCTTAAACTTGATTATATCTAGTGACTCCAATTGAAGCACGCAATCTTGCAAACTCTTCAAACTTAAATGCCTTAGTGAAGATGTCGGCAATTTGATCATTGGTCTTCACATATGCAAGCTTCACTTCTTTCTTCTCAATGCACTCTCTTATGAAGTGAAATTTTGTCTCTATGTGCTTGGTTCGATCATGAAAAATGGGATTCTTTCCCAAAGCAATAGCAGACTTGTTATCAACATAAATTGTGGTAGCAACCTCTTCTGGCATGTGAAGCATCTTCAACAACTTTCTTAGCCATATTGCATGATATACACATGATGCAGTAGATACATACTCGGCTTCACAAGTTGAAAGAGTCATAATTGGCTGCTTTTTTGAACTCCAAGTAAATGCAGTATCACCCAAGAAAAATAAGAAGCCAGTGGTGCTTTTTCGATCATCAACATCACCACCCCAATCACTATCACAATATCCATGAAGCTTGAAGTTTCTAGCGGAAGAATAAATTAAACCGTAATCAAGAGTACCTTTTATGTATCGAAGTACCCTCTTGGTCATCTTCATGTGATTCTCGGTAGGTGCTTCGATGTATCGACTAACAAGACCAACACTATAGAGAATATCGGGTCTTGTGCAAGTTAAATACCTCAAACTTCCAATAAGACTTCTATAAAGAGACGCATCCACCTTCTTACTTTCATCAAACCTTGACATCTTTGCTCCACATTCGATGGGAGTGCTCACCGGCTTACATTTCTCCATTTTGAATTTCTCGAGAATTTTCTTTGCATAAGCTTATTGAGAAATGTAAGTACCATCATCAAAGTGCTTCACCTCAATTCCAAGATAGTATGACATAAGCCCAATATCGGTCATCTCGAACTCTTGAGCCATCACCTTCTTAAATTCTTCAAACATTTTTACATTGTTGCCGGTGAAGATCAAATCGTCGACATACAAACATACGAGCATAAAACCTCCAGCTTGATCTTCTTTGACATATAGAGCATACTCATGTGGACACTTGATGAATCCATGATCTTGAAAATATTTGTCAATACGACTATACCAAGCCCTTGGTGCTTGCTTTAATCCATACAAAGCCTTCTTCAACTTCAAGACCTTATCTTCATGTCCTTTGACAACATAGGCCAAAGGTTGCTGAACATACACTTCTTCCTCAAGATAGCCATTCAAGAAAGCGGACTTAACATCCATTTGATAAATTTCCCATTTATTTTGAGCTGCCAATTAAGGAAATAATCAAACGAATAGTTTCCAAACGAGCTACAGGAGCAAATACCTCATCATAGTCAATACCATGCTTCTGACTGTAGCCTTTCGCAACGAGTCTTGCTTTGTTTCTTTCCACTTTTCCATCGGCATTTTTCTTCACTTTATACACCCATTTTACGCCAATTGCCTTTTGTCCTTTAGGAAGGGTTGCTACTTCCCATGTGCCATTCTTCTGAATTGCTTGAATTTCTTGCTCCATTGCATCTCTCCATTTTGCATCCTGCACCGCTTCTTCAAAGTTTAATGGTTCAATGTCAGCAAAGAAACAAAATAAACTTGGAGTATCAACAACTTCCGTTTCTTCATATATCTTGATAAGATTCCTTTTGCGCACCGGCTCTTCAGAGGAGCTATCATGGGAACCTTGAGAAGTAGGAGACGGAGGTGGAGTAATAACATTTTGATGTGTTCTTTGGCTTGATTCTCCCTCTTGTAAAGGACAAATGACATATTCATCATTTTCAGCAACATTCCAAACCCATAAGACATTTTCATCAAACTCTGCATCTCTACTAATCACGATCTTCCCATTGGAAGGATTGTAGAACTTGTAGCCTTTCGATTTAGGATCATAACCGATGAAGACAAACTTCTCACTTTTTTCATCAAGTTTAGATCTCTTCTCATCTGGAATATGAATATAAGCAATACTTCCAAAAACACGTAAGTGAGAAACACTAGGTTTCTTACCACTCCATGTTTCTTGAGGTGTCATGCCACGAACACTCCTTGAAGAAGATAGGTTGGACAAATATACCGCACATGCAACGGCCTCGGCCCAAAGTTCCTTTGGCATCTTTTTGCTTCTAAGCATGCTTCGGAACATGTTGAGAATGGTTCTGTTCTTCCGCTCTATGACACCATTTTGCTGTGGAGACCTTGGAACAGTCAAGAAATGACGAATCTCATTGGTATCACAAAAAGTTTCAAATTCCCCAGAAGTGAATTCTCCATCTCGATCGGTCCTTAATGCTTTAATATAATAGTCACTTTCTTTCTCAACAAGGGTTTTGAATTTTTGGAATGCTCCAAAAACTTCATTTTTGGCTTTCAAAAAATAGACCCAAGTTTTGCGAGAATAATCATCAATAAAGAGTAGGAAATAATTAGCTTTACCATGTGAGGATGGTTTGATGGGTCCGCACACATCGGCGTGAACAAGTTGGAGTGGCTTCGATGCTCTTGAAGTGACATCCCTAGGAAAACTTTTTCTAGCTTGTTTGCCAAAAAGACATCCTTCACACAGTTGGTTGGGATGATTGATTTTGGGCAACCCATGCACCATATCTTCATTCGCCAAAGTCTTCAAGCTACCAAAATTCAAATGGCCAAATCTCAAGTGCCAAAGCCAAGAAGTATCTTCAACACAACTCTTCAAGCACCTTGGATGATCAACTTGAACATTGAGCAAGAACATTCTATTTTTCTCCATGGGCACCTCTTTGCTATCAACTTATGAGAATCATCTCTCAAAAGAAGGCAACGATCTTTCAAGTGAATATCATATCCCATCTCAAGTAGTTGTCCCAAACTTAGAATATTAGACTTCAAAGTAGGAACATAATAAACTTGAGATATCAAAAAATGACTTCCATTTTTAGCACGGATTAAGACATCACCTTTTCCTTTGATTGGGGCTTTAGTATTATCTCCAAAGATGATGTTGCCATTCACCGCCTCATTAAGAGTTGAGAATGACTCTATGTTGCCACTCATGTGATTTGCGGCACCGGTGTCAAAATACCATTCTCCTTTCTCTCTTTCTTCATTCGTTGCCAATAACAACAATGTCTCGTCTTCTTCTTCTTTAAGTTCAATATAATTGACCTTCACTTCATTGTTTGTAGTGGCACTCCTACATTCATTAGTATAGTGCCCAAATTTGTGACAGGGATAACATTGAATATTAGCTTTATCATACCTTCTCCTTTCACCTCTATTGTAGCCATAATTTCCACATCCTCCTGTTTGAAAGCTTGACCTTTCATTGATGGAATGTTGGTCTCCGCTCCTTCCACGACCACGACCAAAGTTTCCTCCACGGCCATGACCATGACCATGACCACGATCACGGCCACGATTTTGACCTCTCCCATGAGACCATTCTTGCTTTTTCACTTGATCTCCCAAAGAGACCTTAGTTTGGAGTACTTGGGTCGCCGTCTCTCCCTTCTTCTTTAATCTTTCTTCATATGCTTGCAATGACCCCATGAGCTGATCAAGGGTCATAGTCTTCAAGTCATTGGATTCCTCAATGGCAACGCCAACAAGATCAAGCTTTGAGTCAAGCGATCTAAGAATCTTTTCAATAACACGAACATCGTCAATATTTTCGCCATATTGCCTCATTTGATTGGTTACGGAGGATACTCTAGTGAAGAAATTAGAAACGGATTCGGACCCCGTCATATGTAGAGATTCGAACTCACCACGTAGAGATTGAAGACGTACCCTCTTCACCTATTTAATTCCTTTGAAATTATTTTCTAAAATATCCCAGGCTTCTTTGGCCTTTGATGCGGAAGCAACTTTCTCGAACATGGCTTCATCCAAGCCCATGTGAATAATAGAGAGGGCATGTTGATCACCTTTACGAAGCTTGTTCAACTCGTTCTTTTGATTTTGATTCAAAGCTGCTTCATCCTCCGGTTCATCATAGCCTTTTTGAACAACTTCCCACACGTCTTGTGAGCCAAGCAATGCCTTCATGCGAATGCACCATTGCCCATAATTTTGTTTTGAAAGCTTGAGAACGGCATAAGGAAAAGAGCTATTCATCTTCAATCGTAGCTCTGATACCACTTTGTTGAAAATGGGAAGTTGAGAGAAAGGAACACAGGAGAATACTTAGAATACTCTTTGATATTTTTGTGGCTTGGTTATTTTTAAATGATTCAATCGCAAGCCCTTTTATAGATACATGAAGACCCTTAGTACATTGTATGCATTTATTAAGACCTCATAAAACTCCTAGAACTTTGTAGTACATGAATCTTGAAAATCTAATGGACTAATTAAATGCATGACATGTACATGAACTACATTAATGCACCTAGGAAGAAGTACATGGATAATAATGCACCTAGATTCATGAATCAAGTTTAATTTTCAACACTCCGTCCTTCTCCGCCATCAGAAGTTCTGAAGCGGTGGTGCTGGCGATGGAGTGGATTTGTCGGTTAAGACACATGGATCCCGATAGCATCGAGGTGCTGCCAGATTCGTCCCTTGAATATGGCTATCCCGCCACTTGGGCAAGCAAATGGTGCGCTGAACTACATTGGGCGGTTTGGCTCGGGACACATGGAACCCTATAGCATCGAGGTGGTGGCTCCTTCGTCCCATGAATCCGACTATCCGGCCACAGTCCATCGGGGAAGAAAATGGTGTGCCGTGTTTCATCCCGAATGGCCCAAAAGTTCTTGTGTTGCTCTTGAAGGTGAGCGATCTAACGACCGGACTGCCTCCACGAACCATGGGACTGTAGTAGCCACTTACGCTGACCAAATGCTCGTCCGGGGACTGCAGTTTAATCTGCCATCCCAGATAATTTATGTCAAGTTTTCTTCTACAACAGTTGCATGAATAATTGTTGGCAGTGGTTTAGTTTTTGGAATATAGAACTAACCTCAGCTGTTTGATTGCCTCCAGCACCTCCATGCTTCTCTGCTGCCACAGGCATTCCATTCTTATCATAAACCACGCAGATCGAGTCGATGCAATGGCCAAAAACAAGAGTGATCTCCCTCACGCCATGGTAAGTCCCATCGTCCCAGCTAGTTCCACCATTTCCTCCCCATGGTCCGACTTCTATTTCCTCACTTCCATTCTCTTCAAGAGTGATCTCCCTCACGCCATGGTAAGTCCCATCGCCCAAGCTAGTTCCACCATTTCTTCGCCATGGTCCAACTTCTATGAATTGTTTCACCTTCTCACTTCTATCCTCAAAAATATGTTCATGTGGAAAATAGAGTGAGGGGAAAGTTGTGATCTCCCTCAAGCCATGGTAAGTCCCATCGTCCCAGCTAGTTCCACCATTTCCTCGCCATGGTCTAACCAAATTGTCCTGCAACATTAGTTATATGCTTTCATGCCTCTTTGTGAGGATAATGAATATCTCAGTTTATTGTTAAAGTGTTATTCTGAGTAATTTGATTGATGAGTTCATGAGTTAGCACAAGAAGAACTATGCGGACGATAGGTTGTTCATATTTCATTCTATTAATCTTCAATCATATGATCGTATACTTTGAGGTATCGTCAATCAAGTTTGGGGAGACTGCTCCATGTTGAGCCCAAGTGGCATCTTAAATTATGATCCTCGTCGAGTTATAACACCTACCCACAAGATTGTTTTTTAAAATAAAACGATTTTAGCTGATGTGTCTTGGTTAAAGGGAAGAGGATTAATGATAAAAAGCTTTATGAGAACTCGAGGAAAACAAAGACATGAAGAAATCAAACCAGAAAAGAATATTGGAGAATAAAATGCAAATCATATCATAGCGGTCTTTCATACCATTATGAAGACTGCTAACTTGAAGCAGAGAAGCTGGATATAGAAGAACAAGACGCAAAGCTCAAGAGGTGAACGATATTGTTGCTTGTGGCTCGAAAGTGATGATGCACATACAATAACCTATATAGGGATTGAGTTGATGGCTTAGTGCAGCATCAGATTCTACCTCGCAAACCAAGAATCTGAACCGTTTTTCCTTTGAGCATAAGAATTGGACCCCAACATCTCTGGCGGGCAATTCTGTCCAAAGCTCGGATGCAGTTGTTCGATGATTCATCTTTCCTGTTCTCTTATTCCCCCGCTTTTCATCCACTGAGGGAAGGACTAAGCCACAAAAATGGATGCCCGGGCACTGTGGCACATTAACGATAATTTGTTTTCACTCTCGCCGCCCGAAAAAAAGAAGGCATAAAGCTTCGATGAGGATTCTAGACATTAGTCAAACAAATAGTGGACGAGCTAGTTCTTCTCCCTCCTCTTTTTGCGCATATGTACTTAACATGAACCATAATCAGCAGCAAACTCTGACATTCTCAGTAAGTCGACTATGAACAACTGGCATTCGCAAAGATGGCCTTATGCAAGGGACTATCCATCTATGCAATGAGCAATGTCCTTGTCGATCGTGCCTGTTGCACTCAGATGAGCTGGTGTACAGATTAGTCCTCTTATTTCCTTATGATCTAGTACGTGAATCTCTTGCCCATATGCTCATTTTTGACTTGGTTATTCCAAGTAATTTATGACAAGAATGGAGGTGTTCTGCGCTGTTTTCTTTTGCAAGAAGCTTTGCTGTAATAACGTGGGAACCCCAAAAAAGAATATTCAAGTGGCGGGCTGTGAGGATTGATCTCTACTTATGTATCACCTAAATGGTAAGCTATCTTTCCCCGACCTACGTACATTCGGTACAACATTCCCCGCCTTCTTCAGCGTTAACCGTTGTAGATTGATGTACTTAGCATGCTCTGTGCATGCAAACCGCAAACGATCCACAGTTCTTCTTCTGATTAGATTCGTCACTCAATAGATCAATGGTAGAGGTGTCAAACAGGTAAGTCAAGTTGAGTTGGGTTTGCTTAGACTATGTCTTAATTTTTCTATTTTTCTTAAAGTTATTGTGAAAGGCGGTCGAATCAATCTATGCATATGCTATTACTAATAAAGTTGAGAGAAATCACATTGAATGGATCGACCTTAGAGCTGATGAATTTGTTTGGCCTAACCAATGACGTTGAGGGGAAACGATCAAGGTCTGAATCTTAAAGTGGCCCAGAATGGTTGCACATCGTATTTGGCCACCTACGAATCACAAGATTCTTATGTTTTATGAGTATGTTGCAATATTAAGCTCCTGAATCCTTTTGTCCTTCAAATAGTTGAAATTAATTTTGCTTTTGAAAAAAGAAAAGAAAATTTTGACTTGTAGCATGGATTGATTTTTGTACTTTAAAAGGTAAATCTCGGCTGTTGGCGCTTTAGTTTATGTATTTTGTTTCAACCAAGTTCTCAAACTTTCAATCTCTTTAGTCAAGTTCTTTAAATTCGCATAAATTTTCTAATCAGATCCTTCCCGCTCCATGTCAGGTTAATTAGCATTGAGGCGTTCTTCAAAGCTAGCCAGAGTCCAATGTGATTTTTTTTTTGCCACAATAAACTATAAATTAATGCATGGAACTAAAATTTTCTTAGAATTAACCACAACCAAATCTCGATGATAATGAAATTTCTCCTTATGAGCGCTTTCCTCCAACTTTTCACGTCAAACTCTTGAGAATTCCAACAAACACGTCAACTTCAATTGACCAGATTTGAAACCGAACGGACTTAATGAGAAAAGTTATGCAATTTCAAGAATTTGATTGGATAAATTTAAATTTCAAGCATTAAACTGAAAACTTACGTTAGCTCATGGACGAAAAATGGAATTTTCCGTACTTTAAATGTCAAGAATCCTCTAATATATCCATGACACGGGGTAACGGTAGGGCTAGGGGTGAGCAACTTGGACCGCCCAAACCGGGACCGGACCGGACCGGCCCGACGGGTTTGGTCCGGTTCCCGGTTCCTAAAAGCGAACCGGTTTCCGGGCGGTCCGGTTCCCGGTTCCAAGGGGGAACCGGACCGGATCGACTATTTAATATATATTTTTGTTATTTTTTTCTTTAAAAAAATTGATAAAATGTAAACTAAACTCTAAGTGAATTTCATTATCATAAATTCATTGATAAAAATTAGTAAAATGTGAATTAAACCCTAAGTGAACTTCATTGACATAAATTCATTGACAAAAATTAGTAAAATATGAACCAAAGTGTTTAGCCAAAAAAAAAAAAACTAAACTCTAAGTGACCGATTCTATTGGACCGGACCGGACCGGCGATCCAGTTCGGTTCCCGGTCCTAAAACCAACCGGTCCGGTCCTAAAACCAACCGGTCCGGTCCGCGGTTCCCAAAATTGGAAACCGGTTCTCTCGGTCCGGTTCCCAGTTCCACCTTGGAACCGAACCGAACCGGGAACCGATCACCCCTAGGTAGGGCAACTGCACAAGATTCTTTCTCCAAAAAATGTTCATCTCTAATAGTACAACTCGTATATGTTTATATATAGAATGGCTTCATAATCCAACTATATAAGAGCTGTTATCAAGGAGTGAAATTATCAAAGGCAACATTGAAGTGAATGGTAAAATAGAATGTTTTAAGATTCAGGATTGATATTTTGTTTTTATTTTGGGATGTTGTGCTTGTGGTTGGCAAATTCCAAGTGGTCGCATCAACACTTAATGGTAACATTAATCGATTGCCTATCGAGTGGGTACATACCACGGTCCACTGTGGGAGAGGTTGAAGTTTAGAGTATCATCCAAAGTTTCCAAGGTAGATGGTTCTTTTAGAGAGATAAGTGCGATATGAATTGATACCTGGAGATTAAATTGTTCCATCGATTGCCTTAGGAACCTTTTCATATATGTGCAATCAAGTTTTAGTCTCGCCGTCGATGACACGTAGTCACTAGAAAACCATAAATTTTTCAATTTCTTAACAAATTAAGCTTGACTTCGATCATAACGAAGAGATGAGTGACAAAGTTGACTATGATACTAGCCCTATTTTCTTCCTTTCCTAATATGCCGTAGCCACAAGAAAATTGTATTCTTTTTTATATCTTATGAATTTAAGCATGATTATAATCATAATCAAGCAACAAATAAAAAGCTTGACCACAGCAATTAATCAAAAAAATATAACCCATATTTTCTTTCGTTCTCGATATCAAAGAATCTGCTCTAATCACGTCACTGGGTGCGTGCCATTATCCAAAATTCGTAGCTCAACTGTATTTTTTGTTTTTAGTCAATATAGCTCCACTATTGCTTGTCAAAGGGTTTTCTACCCTAACCTATTCTCCTCTTCATAACGAGGCCATCCCATCTAAACTAAAAATCAATAACGGAAAGAGGAAAAGAAAATCTTTCTGGTGATGATCACTTCAAGTTCCAACACATGTGCATCGCCTCCTCTTCCTATTCTACGGGCGCCCCTCAAGCGGCGGCGCACGGTCGCCATTATAGTTTATGTACTTATTTTTGCAAAAGGACATTTCGCAGGAGACAGCTATTGTTGTGCTGGAAAATGAAAGCTATTACTTGAATAACAAAAAGATAAAAGTTATCAAAAACTTTAAATTGTATCTACTAAATAATATTTATATTAATTTTTTTTGCTGTGATACAAAAAATTTCAAATTTGCACCTTTATGACCTATCTATTCTTCGTAAAAGTTTCATCAATGAAGACCTTTAACAATATGCTTACATTGATGCTAGAAAGCAAACATTGTTAAAGTGAAATAAAAAAAAACATTACTTTGACTGAAAAATCATTTGATAAAACTTTGATAGAGGATAAATGTGTCACATAAATATAAATTTAAGGTTTTTTATATGACAAGAAAAATTTTATAATAAATGTATCACAATGGGCATAGTTTTAGGTTTTTGATATCACAAAAAAAGAGTTTAGAGTAAATATGTCGCAATAGATATAATTTGGAATTTTTTGTAACTTTCGCATACGATAATACAACAAAGAGAGAATTCCAAAATTACTCCCCCATTTTCTCAACTATGATGAAGGAAGAATCGATTGGGAGGTCGATGTTTTTATAAAAATTTCAACAACTGTGATGGAATATTTAATTTGAGGCATAGTTCAAGCGTGTCTGTCAACGTCGCCACATCTTGGTGCTAGTGAGAGTAACTGCCAAAGTTTAGGCCATGCCACGATCGAGTGTAAGTTGCAGACGAACCAAGATTTGCTTAGGCTGAGGAGTGACAAATCAAGACTTCCTAAGGCTGAGAAGCGGTCGGAGGATTCGAACCTGGATATATTTGTTTACTCAAAAGTATGTCTTACACCACTAAGCTCGCCATTACGGTGATGTCAGTCCGTGTTTTAGTAATAACTGGCAAAGAACCGAGTTTACCTTGGTTGTCATAGAAATGAAAATTTTCATTTATAATGTAAAAAAAACACATTACGATATATTATCCTGACCAAAATATGAAATGATTAATTATCTATGTAAGGACATTTAAATATTAAAATTTTAAGTAAATAATAGCACGAGAATGATATTAATCAATCAAACTGCACATTCTATGAGCAGCCGAAAAGTTTTTTTCTCTCCCTCTCTCTTCTATCTCCATCGTCTGCTTCAAGCTTTAGACATAGGGGATGGTTTGAGCTAGTCTCACCCTCTCTTCCTATTGATTTTGTTTGAGTTTTTTGTTTTTTTCTTGTTTTTTCTTCTCTCCCAATTTAGATTTGGGAGCTCTATTCTCCTGATCTAATTCTAGATATGAGAATTTGAACTATCCCGATTTAGTTGTAGGCTTCGGAGCTTTTTTCTCCCAATTTAGATCTGAGAGTTTAATAATGTTTTCGGGATTCGATACCCCTGTGCTTTGTTCGTGTACAGGTTTTTGCCTCCAGTTTCAATGATGATCGCATGAGCTTTGACATCTCGTTGAATTATGAAGAT